TCCCCCCCCCCCCCCTACTTAATTTCAATACATTGTTTTCACCAGTGTGTTTAATATACAACCTTGCAAATTTACTAGTAGGAATTTCCATTGTGTTTGCAGCCCTTACACTTTGTGTTTCATTATGGCTTCTTGATCTTGAAAGAGTCTATTACTGTGGCTGCAACATTTTCCCGTTCGGCGTTAGAAACACAATACATTGATCAAAAAATGACTGAAATATTACAGTTTTAAAAGCCTGACACCTAGCGGCAAAGTTTAAATTTCACACAAGTAGTGATGAATGATGGTCACTGTGGTTGTATTTCGGTCTTGTTAGGCTACACCATGTTCCTTTGACCGCCTATCCGTAACAGGATTATTTGCATCAACAGCCGTAAAAAAGCACCCAAATAAACAGCAGTTTGCGAATATTATTGTTGCGATTTACAAAGGTTGCGGCCACTGAGGTTGCGGCCCGTTCCAACTTTGTAAAATTGAAAATTGTGAACTTTTGTCCTCTATTTCAAGCTTGTAGCCTTCCAAGTTTACTCACATAAAATGACTTTCGCTTTATAAAGTCTGTTTCATCGGAAAACTTTTAAGGTTCATCGGAAGAATAAAAAAATATGTACAAAATCGATGACACCATTCGCTCGTGGTAAGCGGCCATCTTGAATTCAGCGACAATAGTAATGACGCAATTTTTATTTCTTATTAATCACGAAATTGTCATTTTATGGCTAACGATCCAAGATCCGACACAAATGCGTGCCGAAACCTAGAGTCGCTGCGGGGCTCTGCCCAGCGACTAATAACGATAAAATTAAATATGCGAAATGAAATTCCAAGATGGCCGCCAACGTAAGAGTGTCCACAAAATTTAAGTGTTCAGAGGGCTTAAAAATGCGTTTATTCTTGAAAATGTTTCCCTCTTTTTGCTACAAACGTATTCGAAATCAAATTCTTCAACTTTTTTTACCAAATTGGTCGTTCGCTAAACAAAATTAACAGCTGAAATATGCGAAAAATAGATTTAGAATTACGACAGATGTTCTCCAGGTGGACAGACTTGACTAAGAGGACACGGAAAGTGTTTTGAACTGGGTATGTTAATTAAATCTGGTATTTACCCTTCCGAAGACTCTGCTGTGCGACGATTGGAGCGAGTTTATGAAGAATATACAATGGATCAAAGAAATATTTTTGGATGCATATGATGTTATTGGTCTATTGTTGGCAAAGTCACTGATATCGATAACTACCAATGGTTGGAATATTTATTCATTGATATTTTAAATACAGACGAAGTGGAAGTGCTGTATGCTCTTTCCTTGTTTACGTTTTCTTCGCAACCAAATGTTGTTGTAGCTCCAAAGCTGACATATGAGTGCTCAAAATGTCAAATGTATAATAATGATGAGAATTGAAACTATTTCGTTTCAGACATATTAATATACTTAGGGAAATAATTGAAAATAATTCCCCCCAGAATTTGGGCGTCCAAAGGCGTTCATATTTTGTTCTAGGGGCGTCCCAGGACGCCTGGACGCCCTTCTGGCTAAAATCCTGATAGTGCGTACTCCAGCAAAGCTTGCATGCTTCATTCTTGCTGTTACCATCTGCACATTATTAGGGTGGAGAGTTGATTTGAATTTTTGTTCCCAGGGATAAAGTAAGGGAATAGATGTCCCGTCACATCACAAAAGGGGCAAGATGCCCAGCCAGTTAGAGCTAGTTAGCAAGATGGCATGTACTTTAAGGGACCATTCATTATACCCTATGGTGGGGTGGGGGATTCTTATGTCAAAATGTCATGGGACCGCCTTTTTTAATCGCTTAGTTTTTTTAATTTGAGACTACAGTATATAACATGATGCAATTCTAACCTTCATTCACGTGAATGCCTGACTATGAAGAAAATACATTTTGCAACATACACTATTAGAGCTAGAACGATTGCTTCCTTTAGATGATTTGTCTTAAAATTATTTATCTCTATTACAACAATTCATCCTATATTTTTCTCAATTTTTTTATTTTAATAGTATCAATGTATTTTCATGTCATTTGGCAACTAATATGTAGTCAAATATTTTCTGAAACCAGTTATAATTCTGTTTTTCACAACATTCAAGCCCCCCGCCCCCCAAAAGGTTCAACAAATCAACGACAGCCTCTCTTTTTCCCACTCTACTCTAGTGAATAAATAATGATTAGTCCCTAAATAGGGATATTTTGCCAGCAAAATCTATTTGATGGTAACTGTTCTGAGAATATATTAATCCATTGAGTGGCTGCATTCTCCCCTTGATGAGTAAAATCATCTGGCATTATATGGAGTAATTACTAAAGTAGGGCACATTGCACTATAATGGGTTAAACAAATTCATAAAACCTTTGCAATGGTCTATTCAAAAAGCTTTATTTGTAAAATTTAAATTAATTGACTTTTATATCCCTACTTATACTTATAGCTACCTTGCACCAGTCACTTCAAGTAAATACTATGGGAGGACGTGGAAATTGAAAATCCCTTGGTTTACTTGGTAAATGCAAGAAATTAATCATGTGTTACATGTACATGGAGAGCAGTTATTTTTAAATATAATTTTATCATGCGAAATCATTTATAATTGTCTCTTATAAAATGTCTTTGGCTTATAATGGGTGCACTGTCCAAGTACAAGCTGTTAGTATAAACAACAAAACAATGTGTATAATTACTTTTTATTGAATAAAATGTGAAATATTTTACAAATTGCTGTCCATTACCAACCTAAAGTGTACATAATCATCAATATAATTAGGACTTAGAAGCTGTTTGCATGAGATTGACTCTGACCCAGCACCCTTGGCTAGTTCCCCTTGCCAGATCACAGATGACATTTGCTTCAAAACGAACCATGCAAGCTGACAATGACGGGAAACAAAGGGGATGTACCGGTGTAGTGCAGGGGTGTTGTGTGCACTGCCTAGTGGTGTCCAGCATCCAATTGAAGAAAACTCTGGTATTCCATATTTGAGTTATGAATACTTCTTATTATATTGGGTCATTCCGCAAAAGATCCACTCTCCCCCATGGAGGAAATTTCTGCCGTCCGGAGAGGGAGGAGAGATAAAATTGTTTGTGATAATAGTAGATGTATTAGGACATCCGAAGGCGAAAGGGTAGGGGGTTAACTTCCAATTTCCTCCATGGGGTTGGTATGGATGTTTTGTGGAATGACCCATTGAAATGATTGTTTCTTGGGGAGAATGCCTTTAACCCCTGTAGTAATGCACCACCTCTGGAAAACTTCCACCCCTTGTAACAAATATGTCCAGACATGCCCGAGAGGCAGGATTTTCTGGAATATTATTAGCAGCGAAGTGAAATTTTGCATATTTTCAAGCATGCATTGTAACCTGATTTTCAAGCCTGATTGTAACCTGGTTGGTTCAGCCATGTGAATAAAATTTTTAAATAAAATAACATAAAAACAAGGCATGCAGAGGTTTTTCAGAAGTAGAATTCAAGGCCAGCCAGCCCAACTCCTGTGAACAGCCCTTTATTTCACATTTGAAGCATCTCTCGAGGCATCAAAGTACATGCATGCACATGGACATAAGCACATCATTGCACAACTTTGTCTGCACCAACACAATCAAGCTGGAAAGGGATGTCATCGGTACATTGATATATACATTATGGCTGATGTCTAAAGACACCTGCATGCACTTTCATATTGAAATTGTTCTGATACCAACAGAACAAAACACATCAGAAATCTGTAACATCAGCAAAATGAGCAACTTACTTTTATAACACAATTTATGGTAAAAATGAAGCCACACGCTGCACAATTTCTGAATGAATTTTAGTCTCTGAAATAAAATAAAATAAAATAATATTATCATTATTCAAAAGTTGTAAGCAATGTTGCATATAACAAAATATCGACGCATTTCTAATGATAACTATAAATTAGGCCAATTTAAACTCGACTTTAAATATGAAGAATATAAAAAACAAAGGTCATATTTATAAACCCAGACTGCTGACTTTTAAGTACAAGAATTTATTTGTACACAGCAATATAAACGCTATACGAAGCCAATGAAGGCACATTTTGCCCTAAATACTCGGTCAAAGGTATGTTGTTGCACACAACTCATGTTCTTTCACAGTTCAAATAAACAATAATAATAACCTTCGACAAATCGTGTACAAATCTTATCGAATTTAACCTTTTTGCCACAGATAATATGCAAAAAATATTTCTTAGACAGATAAAGGTATAATGTAATTATGGCACTCCTTGCATGAACATGTTAATTTATCCAAAAGTGTGAATAAATTAATCCAAGATTGCATAATAATATACTTACCATTGAGCAATCAGAATACGTAAGACGCCAGCGGGTGCCAGGGCCTTTTCCCATCGCCGAATTTACAAAAAAGGGCCTGTGAACGAGGTTCAGTTACATATATTACTTTTAACTAATTCGTGGTGGAATTTTGCAATTGACAATTGAATTGAAAAGTGCGCATGCTCAGACCATTATTTGCACCAGTTATTTGCAACTGACCTGTCATTAACACCAGTTATTTGTAGGAAAATTAGCCAATCGACGTTGAGGAAATGCATGTTGACGTTGTCGTCACGTATCGTTCTTTGTTAAATTTGTTCGGTTATTATAATATCATATTATTGTTTTTAAAGCAATTTTTTGTTTTGGTTGTTGTTGCTGTTCTTAAATATTTATTTGTGTTGTCGTTATGTCGTCAATATTTTTGCGCATGTTTTGGTAATGTCTACGTCGCGAAATTAAGAACATTTCTTTTTGAGCAACGGACAATTCGCTGCTCCATTTTGATGTCGACTCGTCAGCGGTTTCACCCCACAATGGTATTTCAGCATATTAAAAAGAAATCGAATCAAATAATATCGTGTCATTTTTTTTCTAGCCCGAAGGAATAAAACAACAATATAGTAAAGGAACATTCATTTGCGCTACTGAAAAAGGTAAAAGATAAAGAAGGCTTCCTGAATATGGGATGAGGGAAGATTATTTTGTTTAATAAATAAAACAAAACTAACATAGGGATTGTTTTCTTTGAACATAATGTGTAACGCTGATCACCTTTGCTACTTTTCCTTACTAGGAAACTACAGCGAGATGATTGATTTAGCTCTTCCACCTGAGATCATTCCTGGATCCGTACTTCCAAAGATATCGATTGTTGGTAAGCATTACAAATGAATACAAGTTTTGACAAGTTTACAATGTCAGTAATATCTCATTCAAACAAATGAACGACTTATTGCTGCGATCAATTTCAAGTTGGTACTAATTTCTTATGAATTTTCTTAATGCTTTGCCAAAACATATTACTTCCCCTTCAAATTTTCCGTCGGATTCATGTCGTATACGAAGTAGTACATATCTCTTCCAATCTTTCTTTCTAGGCGATATAATGGGTCCAGCTCTGACAAATCTGGATGGACTGCTGGCAATGCCCTACGGTTGTGGTGAACAAAATATGGCTAAGTTTGCTCCAAATATTTACGTTTTGGATTATCTTACAAGCACAAATCAGCTTACAAAGGAAATAAAGGACGATGCGATATGGTATATTAAATCTGGTAAGTTTTAATTATATACTTATGAACCTGACTTCAAGATTGAAACCAATGGTTATGGAATATATATATTTATAATATAGTCATTCACCGTATATGAGCTGTCCTGCAATCTCATTGGTTGAATTACTCGCCGTATATCAGCTCATGTATGACGAGTAAGAAAAACAAGATGGCAGTTCAAAAACTACATGAATTTTGCGAAGAAGAAAAAAGGAAAATATTCGGTTTAAGGAAAATATATATATATATATATATATATATATATATAATTTCGAAAATTGTAGGTTGCTTTTATGCTATCGAAAGAATGTGCGGAATGCGTGTACGCGAAACAATGCTTAGGTGAAACAATGCATGCTTGGGTCATTAGGTTTTGTTAACGACCTTGTTTACTCGAAACCGGTTTTTGTGACGACATTTGCCGAAAATTTCGCTTCTTTTATTGAGTAAATTGTCTTGGTTTATGTCTTTCAAAATGCAAAATTTTTCTTCCAAACATAAATTGCAGCGTTTTGATCCCCCTGTGTACGAAATAGCGTGTTTTAAAATTGACCATTTGATGGTATAATCCTGATTGGTTTCTTTTAATTTCCAAATATGTTTCGAAAGTTCCGTTTTGTTTGAGTCTTTTTTATGACGAAAAGATGAAGTGTGGTTAGCGTAACGTTCCTTAAATGTAGTCGCTGTCATACCAATGTAGTGTTTAGTGTCGTTCGTGTTGTTCGTTGTGACTGTTGCTTTGTAAATAATGTTGTTGGTCATGCATTGTTTCGGTAGTGGGCAAGTGTTTTTGTTGTCGCAGTTACAGTTGTCAGTTTCCGTATTCTGTGATTGACTGTTCCTAATTATATGTGCGTTGTGTTTGGTGATTATAGACTTAACGTTGTTCATGCAACTGTAGCTTACTTTTAAAGTGTTTCTGTTAAAAATCTTGTGTAGTTTGTGCTGTAGCGGGAAGTGTTTGTCAATTAAACTTAAGAATTCCTGTCCTATGTTCGTGTTAACACTCTTACTAAATGGTGGGTTGAACCAAATTATGTTGCGTTGCCTATTCCTACGTGTCCGTTGCGGTGCATTCTCAGTGTACGTAAATTCATTATCAAAGTTACTATGTGTAAGAGCGTTCTGGTAAATAGGTGTGGATTCCTTAAATGTTTGTTCGTCCGATGAGAGAAGTGCAATGCGTTTGTTGATAGCTGTAGGTAATTGTCTTGTAATGCTTGGTGGATGGTTTGAGTGTCTGTGGATGTACAATGGATCGTCATTGGGTTTCCTGTATGGTTTGTGTTTTGCGTTGATTAGGTCGAAAGTAACATCTAAAAAATTTACAACGTTCATATTTACTTCGGCGGTGATTTTAAGGTCAAATTGCTCGAAAATTTTGTGTAGCTCTTTTCTAGTTTTGTCTAGTAAACGGGCGGATTTGCTTTTTATAATAGCCAAACCATCATCTCTATAAAGTCCGATGTTTTCCTTGCCAAACCTCTTACCTAAGTGATTTGAAATGAAAAGGCCTACCAACTCACAAATTTCAGCGCCGTCGAAACTACCCATAGTGACGTCAAATAAACTGTTGCTTCCGTCTTTTTTTGTCCATAATTTGCCGTTGCCGAAAAGTAGAGATTTTCTTGCATGTTTTATTATTGAAATATCGTTTTCGGTGATAGTAGTCAAATCCGAAGCCCAGGCCAATGCTTCATTTAAAAGTTTTTCGGAAATAGATGGGTAAAAATCCACAATATCAAATGAAATAAAACTGTGCCTGTCTTTATCGTTTATATTGCCAAACCATGAAATTACTTGTTGCGTATTTCTCCATTGATTTTAATTTAGTTTTTGTCTCAAATTGGAATTGATTTTATCTAAAATAACCTTACTTAGTTTTCCGGATTCGCTTTTTGCGGGATTAATTAGTCGGCATTTTTGATTGTTTTCGAAATTTTCTTTGTGATCTTTTAAAGATATAAATGCTTCGCGTTTTTTCATTCGTTCAATTCTGTCGCCAATTCCTAACTTACTCGAAATTTCTTTCAATTCGGAGTCAATTTCACGTATGAAGTCCTCTGATCCATGTTTGTACGTTTTCGTGATGTTATCATGTAAGAGTTCGTTGTATGTGTTCAGTGACGTTTCGTAAATGTTTCTAGTTTTGTCCGCGAAAATGAAAATGTTGGGGGATGAATTAATTTTCTTCAAATCGTTAGCCAAAGATGTCTGAAATTGGTCTTTAGGACGCCGGAATTTTACGTTTTCAATTAGTTTTATCAAGTCGTCTTCGAAAGGTTTCAAAAGTGGAATTGAGGGAGGCGATTTGTTAGACGAAAGGCCGAAAAGGTTGCTTTGGTTTTGAGTCGTTGATCCTTTTAGGAAGAAATTAGCTTTCCATCTCATACGTTTTGTTACGCTTTCCACTTTTTCAATCAAATTCTTTAGGTAAGCATCCTGTGATGGTATAGGAATATTCTTTAGTGAATAATCGAATCGAAATTGTCGCATGTTTGAAGTAGAAATGAAATGAATAACGTAGACAAGAGTGCACAACCGATTACCGGGTGCAAATATAGCTATATATCTATATATATATATATATATATATATATATATATATATATATATATATATATATATATATATATATATATATATATATTATTATCGAAATTACCGAAAACGATATTTCAATAATAAAACATGCAAGAAAATCTCTACTTTTCGGCAACGGCAAATTATGGACAAAAAAAGACGGAAGCAACAGTTTATTTGACGTCACTATGGGTAGTTTCGACGGCGCTGAAATTTGTGAGCTGGTAGGCCTTTTAATTTTAAATCACTTAGGTAAGAGGTTTGGCAAGGAAAACATCGGACTTTATAGAGATGATGGTTTGGCTATTATAAAAAGCAAATCCGCCCGTTTACTAGACAAAACTAGAAAAGAGCTACACAAAATTTTCGAGCAATTTGACCTTACAATCACCGCCGAAGTAAATATGAACGTTGTAAATTTTTTAGATGTTACTTTCGACCTGATCAACGCAAAACACAAACCATACAGGAAACCCAATGACGATCCATTGTACATCAACAGACACTCAAACCATCCACCAAGCATTACAAGACAATTACCTACAGCTATTAACAAACGCATTGCACTTCTCTCATCGGACGAACAAACATTTAAGGAATCTACGCCTATTTACCAGAACGCTCTTAGACATAATAACTTTGATCATGAATTTACGTACACTCAGGATGCACCGCAACGGACGCGTAGGAATAGGCAACGCAACATAATTTGGTTCAACCCACCATTTAGTAAGAGTGTTAACACGAACATAGGACGGGAATTCTTAAGTTTAATTGACAAACACTTCCCGCTACAGCACAAACTACACAAGATTTTTAACAGAAACACTTTAAAAGTAAGCTACAGTTGCATGAACAACGTTAAGTCTATAATCACCAAACACAACGCACATATAATTAGAAACAGTCAATCACAGAATACGAAAACTGACAACTGTAACTGCGACAACAAAAACACCTGCCCACTACCGAAACAATGCATGACCAACAACATTATTTACAAAGCAACAGTCACAACGAACAACACGAACGACACTAAACACTACATTGGTATGACAGCGACTACATTTAAGAAACGTTACGCTAACCACACTTCATCTTTTCGTCATAAAAAAGACTCAAACAAAACGGAACTTTCGAAACATATTTGGAAATTAAAAGAAAACAATCAGGATTATACCATCAAATGGTCAATTTTAAAACACACTATTTCGTACACAGGGGGATCAAAACGCTGCAATTTATGTTTGGAAGAAAAATTTTGCATTTTGAAAGACATAAACAAAGACAATTTACTCAATAAAAGACGCGAAATTTTCGGCAAATGTCGTCACAAAAACCGGTTTCGAGTAAACAAGGTCGTTAACAAAACCTAATGACCCAAGCATGCATTGTTTCACCTAAGCATTGTTTCGCGTACACGCATTCCGCACATTCTTTCGATAGCATAAAAGCAACCTACAATTTTCGAAATTATTCACCACCTGATGATTCCTATACGGATGAAACAGACTGTTGTGGGTTTTTGAGGTAAAACGAAAAACTATATATATATATATATATATATATATATATATATATATATATATATATATATATATATATATACATATATATATATATATATATAACTACAGACGGTCCCGTTTCGGCCTTATGGGCCTCATCAGTGTAGTGCTGATGAGCAGGATGAAAGTAACTGCCATTTACAGTTACCTTTGATGCCTCACGATTGTGGGACATCAAAACCATGCCAGAGCGCTCAAACTGCAAGCAGTGAGCGTGCGCAATGCGTAAGCGGCATGGCTCATCCTGTAGAGCGCTCAATATGACCTAAAGGCCATAGAGCGATATCTAATGTGTATATATATATATATATATATATATATATATATATATATATATATATATATATATATATATATATATATATATATATATATATATATATATACAATTATACCTTGAGCTATACCACCGAGTCGGCTATCAGCCATATACGACGAGAGCGAATGGTATAATTGTTTTATAATATAGTGTAATATAGCCATTAACTGAAGCAGTAATTATTCACTCTTACAATGTGTTGACAATTTGTTCGGCCAAAAACCGCTTGAAAATTTGATATACTTTTGTTTTAATACAACTCGAAGACGAAGTGAAAGAAATGGTTTTAGAACCTCTATATCTCGCAGGAAAGCTCAGATATATTATACAGATGTTTGGTACTATAGTAAGTGCTTGTTGACTAGAAATTAATTTGTCGTTCATTGCAAACTTTTCTGAAAAATTTATATTCTGAATGAACATGTTTTTTTCGCTGTTATTTCGGTATTAATTCTTTAAAAAACTTGTATTTAAACTAATTTCTACGTAATAAATGTATTTTGCTAACCTGTCAAATTATTTTTGAGAGTTTTTTCTTGTACTATTATGTTTCTCAAAGCGAATATTTTCCTTTTTCTGCTTCGCAAAACTCATGTAGCAAAACTCATGTATGTTGATGGGAAATCAACATGGTGGAATGTTGTTCGCTTGTGAGCTCCATAAGTTTCGACAATAACTGTGTTATTGAATGTACTTCTGCTGATATTCTTAAACATAAAGAATGTTTCAACCTATTTTACGATGGTAAACGATTAAAATGGCTTGGAAGTCTTGATCCTTAAAGAATTTTATCAAATTTGGTATCAAATTATGCGGTGATTGGACATCACTTGGCAATAGCTCTAAAAAGTTTTCATATTATGGCCCGGTTATCTCTATTAGTTGGTACCCTGGTAAACTAAACTCCCTTATGCTACACGGTGAAGCAGGTCCTGTCTTTTCGGATATGTTGATCGAAGCCGCTCATGCTATAGCAAGTCAAAATAACCGTCTTTCGAAGTCTACCTACTTATTAGACGAAAGCAAGAATCCAAACAATATGTCTATGTCTTATTGTACATTTAGCAATATTGTAGAACCGGATTCAGTGGTTGAAGTGGGATTCGAGAGTTCAAACCGCTCAGACAAGAACGATGCTCTGGTTAGCGGATGTGTGGAAATGACAAATAACCCCCTACACAACAAACCAACGCAAAGATCCTATTGTGACTGTCAGTGTTCGCTGCTAGCTGCCGACCTATAGAAGGGATTAAGCTTGAAATTACAATTATGCAAAAGGGATATTAAGACTATAATGCTAGTAAATCTCGAGCCGATCAGGTGAACCGGCTGAAAATCGAGCTTTCTAGTGAGAGAAAAAAATGTGAGCGCCTTGAAGCTGATTTGTCCCTTATAATTCAAGGACGAACCCGTGAGGTTAGTGAAATGAACGATATCATTGCTTCACTTGAATGTAAACTTAAAACCACCGAGGCGACTATAATGACTCTCTGAGACAATTGATTAATAGCCTACCATAATATCCAATTCAAAACCAAACGAGTTTCTCCCCAGCAATGTCCCTGCAATGGGAGATACTCAGTGCTTGCCTAGCCTAGAAGAACAAATTAATTATGACCTTATTCATGATCCAGATGCACAAATAATTAAAGGGCGAAATCGTGAGGTTAATGAAATAAACGTTATCAATGCTTCACTTGAATGTAATCCTGAAGCCACCGAGGCGACGAATGACTCCCTGAGAGAATTAGTATCAAAATTCCCAATCCAAAACCAAATGAGATCTCCCCCAGCAATTCTCCCACAACGAGCAATTCTCTATTGTCTAGCCACATAGAACTAACTAATTATGACCCTAAGCATGTTTCGCCTGTAAAAACCTCTCACGGTGACCAACATAAAAAAGTTGATTCGAATGCAAAAAAATCGACAAATATTACCGACCACAATTTACCACTTATTGATAATAAACGATTTAACCCGACCTCTCCATCTCTCAAAGTAAACTTACAGAGATCGGAACAACAAAATGGACAAATCTCGTGCCCGACTATCCCAAGAACGAGAGAATTACTATTACCAAACCTCTACCAAAACAGGCCAAAACATCAAAGTCCCATGGTTCCGGTATCATATACAAAGAAAGGACCCAGACTGGATCGAACATCTAGATCTGGTACGTCGAATAACTGTCTCACAATAACTCATAGTTCAGTTTATCAATCAGAGTCCCATGTAATAGAAAACCCCACACATGAAATCTCCACAAGAATTACTAGACTAAGAGACGCCCGTATCAGAATCCAGGTAGAGCATTCAACTATCATGCTCTGAAAAATTTGAAAAAGATAAAAATCCCCAAAAGGTATGATATTCCCACCATTCTATCTGCGAATGTGAGGTCGCTGCCAAAGAAAGTAGATGAGATTGAACAAATAGCTCTGCTGAATTCTGTTGGTGCTATTTGTATAACCGAAACTTGGTTATCGCCAGAAATTCCTGACTCATCCATTTCTATTCCTGGTTATAATTTATTCCGCAGGGACCGAATTGAAACGTCTGGTGGTGGTGTGTGTGTGTACGTAGACCAAAATATACCATTCGAAATTTTGGAATTCAGTGATCAAACGGAGCTCGAATCAATATGGATATCAATGAGACCACATAGCTTACCAAGAGAAGTTACATCAATCGTAGTAGGCGTGGTCTATCATTCGACGAGTAATGGGAAACCTGAGAACATTATTTTACGTGATCATGTTCAAAAAAATCTTGATGCTGCGTTACTTAAACAGCCAAATGCATTAATTATTCTAACAGGCGATTTTAATCCAACATCGACTGGTTTTAATAAAAAATATATAACCCAAGTGAATAGCCTTAAACAGTTGGTTACCTTTAAAACAAGAGATTCTGGTATTTTAGACTGGCTGTTTACGAACAGACCTAAACTACCTAACCTAAACCTACCTAAGATTGCATCATCTGACCATTATTCAATTCTGGCAAAGCCTATACTTGGAGGTGAAACTAAACTAATAAGTAAATCTAAAATACGCGATATGTGCGCTAGGTCGATGGATTACTCAAAAAGATTGGTCCTCTGTCCTAGAAGCTAATATGTGTAAAGATAAATTTGATCTTTTTAACTCAGATCTTAACCAGGCTATTGATAGATTCCTTCCACAAAAAGAGGTTAAAAAGCACCCAACAGATCGACCATGGATCACTACTAAGATAAAAAAAGGGACTCAAAAACGCCAATCAGCTTTTATCCAGCAAGGAAAAATGTCAACAGCATACCGATATTGGAGAAACAAAGTCCAACGTTCCATTCGTGCAGCAAAATACCAATATTATAGCGTTAAAGTTACTGATGTACAAAAAGTTAATTCCACAAAATGGTGGAGAGAAATTAAAAAACTCTCTGGGCAAAGTTGAAAACTGGAATGGCACCATTAGTTTCTAGAAAATAGCTCTGACACTAAGTTACTAGCTAATAGGATTAACAACTTCTTTACTCATGGCCTTTCTGATAATTTTGAGCCCTTAACCCCACGCATTGTATCCCATGAAGTTTCACAGGATTTCTTTGTAACTGAAAACGAGGTCTACAGAGCATTATCATTGCTCCAAGTAAATAAATCAGTCGGTCCTGATTACATCCCGAATAGAGTCCTGAAGGAATTCGCGCATGAGTTGGCACCTATCATCAAAGATATTTATAACCAATCAATGAAAGAGGGATATATTCCTGAACTCCTCAAATCATCAATTGTTATTCCAGTACCGAAGATCAACTCCCCTAGAATCATAGAAAATGACCTCCGACCTATCTCGTTGACATGCACTATAGCAAAAGTCATGGAAGGTTTTACATGCACAAGACTCCTACCTCAGTTAGAAGATAAGCTGGATCCGCGCCAATATGCTCGTAAAAATCATTCAACAACAGATGCTCTACTATATACATTGCAAGCAATCTACGAAGCTGTGGATACTGGTGAGGCCGGAGCACGCTTATTCTTTGCTGATTTTTCTAAAGGGTTCGACCTTATTGATCATACCATCCTTCTACATGAACTAGAGAACCTACAAGTTCATCCTGCACTTTTGAATTGGATCGCAGCCTTTCTAACCAACCGTATGCAGGCTGTTAAAATTGATGGAGTTCTATCAGACTGGAAATCAGTGAAGGGTGGGGTTCCTCAAGGAACTAAACTAGGCGTAATTCTCTTTATTGTCATGACAAACAAATTGCTCTGGGAATGGAATCTTCGGACTAAATTTGTCGATGACACATCCGTACTGGAGATTATTCCAAGAAATTCCATTAGCGTCTTAAACAATGCTGCTGCTGACATACATAACTTTGCCATAGAGCATAATATGAAGCTAAATCCTACCAAATGCAAAGAAATGCTTATTAACTTCCTACGCAATCCAAACTTTCTGATTAAACCTATACAAATAGGTAACTACGTTATAATGAGAACAGGTGGAGACTTATAAGATCCTATAGGTGTGATCATGAGTAGTGATCTAAAGTGGAACTGTCATGTCGACCACATTATCAAGAAAGCCAGTAAGAAACTATATTCGCTAAGGGTACTGCGTAGAGCTGGAGTCGAAAATGATAATATCTTAAAAGTTTATTTAACTACAGTTTATTTAAATACGCCGTACCGGTATGGCAAGCCATCCCGGACTATTTGTCTGAGGCAATCGAAGTCGCGCAAAAGAGATCACTTAAAATTATCTATCCTGAGTGTGATTCGTACACAGACGCGCTAAATCTAGCCGACATTCCTACACTCAAGAGTAGAAGAGATCTATTGTGTGAGAAATATATGGACAAAATGAAATCTAAAGACCATCTCCTACATAATCTACTTCCAAAACCGGTCGTCTTTGAGAATCAGCGTAATCTGAGAAGGAAATCAGAACAATTTTACCTATTTAAAAATAATACGGTCTGTAAAACGAACAGAGCACAATCCTTTTTTACTTTTAAATTTTTCCATTAATACTGTTTAATTGAATAATTAGAAATATGCTGTAAATATTAGGAATAAATAATAATAGTCTAAATTTGAACATCTTAATATGAACATTACCTTAGAAATATTATGTAAATTTTACTAGTAAGCTCGTTAATTCAGTTGTATAACTGCAAGAGAGTTTTAATAAACATCAATAATAATTTTATCTTCGATATTGTGTCCTTCGATATTTCGTGAAATATGGCTACATGACAGGATGAGGAGGAGTATTTTCACGAAACGTTTGTTCGCCACCACAGCAACCTAACTAAATACACTATATTTTTTGTATTTTTATGATTTATGATAAAAACAATAAATATTTGCGTAGTTTTATCATCAATCATAAAATACAATAAATATAGTGTATTTAATTAGGTTGCTGTGGCGGCGAACAAACGTTTCGTAAAAATATTCACCCCCTCCCCCCCTGTCATGTAGCCCACGAGGAGTTTTCGCGAACTTGCGGGTGACTTTTAATTAAATTAGTTGTTTTGGATTGTGATACAACAAGTGTTATGGGAAGTTTTTTCCTTTCAAGTGCAACTAATGTTTTCAAGTGGCATTTATCGGGCAGAGCCATTGAATGGCGCCATATTTCACGGAATATCGAAGGACACAATATCGAAGATAAAATACACTGCACTGTTTCAAAAGTTGATGAAGCTTGGTTGAAATCTTTTTTTGCCATTTATCATTATGGAAAAGTAAAACAAGTGAATGATATTTGCGAGATTCGGCGAGTTTCGTGGGGGGTAAGTGAAATAAAATGTATTATATTTAAAGAAAACAATGACAATCCTTATGAAATCCACAATAATTATATTAAATTAAGGGGCTGGTCATAATTTAGCATTAGGGGTGGGGAGGTGGAAACAGTGGAGGGGGGGGGAGGAAAAAGGGGGGTTCATAAAATATTAGACAGTTTATGAAGGCGGGGAGGGGGTCTGCTGTTTTAGTTCAATTAATCGTTTTATACATGCCTTCTCATATTTTGTTTGAGTTGCATTGAAAAAAATTGATTCTTTAAACTTAGAATGAAAAGTTGGTTGAAAAAACTAAAGTTTTATATACGGCTATGCATTGGTATAATAGTAGGTACATTTTTACTGACACGAGCAAGAGAGAGGGGGGGGGGGATTATTTTTCCGGGTTATGGCAAAGCAGGGTCACAAAATATCATTCCTTAAAATTTTGAATTACACCTCCCCCCCCCCCCCTGATAAATTATGACCAGTCCCTAAGCATAGTTTTTCATCCCATGATATTCTTTTTTAGGAAATGAGAAAACTTAATTTCTGCCAGGCATATTATTTTATGCATAATTAGCAATTTACCTGGGGTGGTGCATGGTCATTTTATTGTAAAATATTATACTTAAACAAATTTTTCCTTCCAATGACCACCCCTAAAAGCAACCCTTCTAAACACTATAAGCACTTCAGAAAGGCTATCGCTTTTCCTTTTCGGAAGTTAGAGCTATGTCGACACTGCCGTTTCAGGGCGGGGTCATTTTCAGGACTTTCGTCTCGGATTCAGGTTTTGGCACATATGCCATGTTGACCGTTGAGATTACCTGTGCTAAATGAAATGCATACAAACTCATATACAGGTCCTAGACTACCGGTAATCAATCCCGTCAAATCACAGTAACCTTTTCGTCGATATTTGTGAAAATCTTGCTTCAATCTATCTATTTTATTAACTATACTCACTAAAAAATTTAAAGACTTTTAAAGACTTTCTTCGCTTTTTCACACAATTCAAAGACTTGTCAAAGACCTTAAAGACCTGCATTCAAATTTAAAGACTTTCAAGGATTTCAAAGATCGCTACGAACCCTGTCGTCGGACAAACCAAAAGGGGATGAACCCTCACAGAGTCACTGTCATAGTATTGAAACATGTTGGTCAAAACGATATCTAGAACTTGGTCCTTTCTTATCGGAATATGAATCAATTGTTGCATATTGAACTGCCGTAAAAGCCGACTTTAGTAGATAATCTAACATTCTCTTATTATCGGCGCTGTATGGAAGAGTGATATACAGTTCCAGTGTAACGAACGAAAAACCGCGGGGAAGTCTAGTTGGCCGAGCGCAGACCCAAAGAACTTCAAAATCAGGATCGTGCAAATTGTCAAAAATGTCGGATTTCAACTCATTTTTAATGTAAACACCTACATGCATGCATACCAGAGGATCGATTTTTACTAATAAATTGGTAACCACGGACGTGGAGATGTGTACTACAGCTAACCGAAATAGGCCGGTCAACCATGTCTCCGTGTTTAGTTATTGATCATTATATAAAGATTAACTTCGTCAGATTTGGGGACAAGTGCATATGTTTGTCAGCATTAGACTGGGAGCAAACGATTATGCACAGCTTCCAGTTATAAGCTGCTGGGTCGAATTGGTTTAACCCTGGAAACATTTGTTAGATTGTTGAAATTTACATCGGTTTGTGAGATATGATTTGTGTAATGAAAACCGTTCATGACTGAGTTATCCTGCATGTGGACTAGCTCCAGATGTCTGAGCCAGTCGGGTTGGTAAAACAGTCGGTATCGAAAAACCTAATCAAGAACCTAATCAACCTAAAAAATGCAAATCAAGTGAGGTAATTCCCAAACAAAGGAGTCGTGCAAGCACATCACACAAACAACTTTCTTTAACATTAAAGTTTAAAAATCCAATGTCAATGAATTCTGCCAAGTTAATTTGCTATTGAATTGGGTTATAGACGAGCAAATAAAATCCGAGAAAGGTGAAAAGCAACGGGAATGCCGATACCAAAACGGCTAGTGGAACGTAGCAACTGCGGAACTACGGAGTGTTCGAACTATCAATTACATATACTGTTTGCATGTCCATCGTGCTTTACGCTCTTAGAGGTCGAGGTTTTGCGGTTTTGACTTTGAAAGAACAACCTGAATTGAATTAGCTGTATATTTGCGGTGAGAACCTTAGATATGGTGAGAACTCGAGTCCAAAAAGAGCTACTGCCTACTGGACATCAGTTCCGTCTGCTAACACGAATTAGCTGCATGCAAGGAGTGTGCCGAAATTTCGTATTCTGACGCCGGTTACAAGAATAAAACGTTGGTTTTATGAACTGATAACTTGATACGATCGGTTAGAAAAAACTGGAGGGCAAAATGGTATTAAAACTGTATTTACGACGTATTGGACATCAATTTCCGCCATCTTCGAATGACTGAAGTTCTTGCTCCAGATATATATATAGAGCTCATTGGTCCATTCCTACACTTCATGGTCAGCATTGCCGAACGTACCATGACGTCATAACTTCTGCAACACGGGAGATGTTACAGCACATGCAGCAATATTAAGCACGGCAAGGAAATTACATCTGCATGCAGCATGGTTTCAAAAGAGTTGACCGAAGTTGGTTGTACGTCATATAAACTAAAAAATAGTAGATGTAAAATTGCTACCTATTAAAGAAGAAAATCGAACCGAAGTACAAATTCGAAACACCAAAATTTTAAAGAGCGCCTCGGCGCTAAACAATATATATATTCAATACATATATTATGTAAAAATTAATAAACATATAATAAATTATGCCACGTCAAAGTTTAAATACTTCAATAAAAAGCAGCTGAACGTATACGTAACGTCGTAAGGCGTCAGGGATAGGACACATGATGTTTTCGTATTTACAGTATTACTCTGAGTGGGAATAAAGCCTGGTTTCCATATGATCGTAAAAATACAGTCAGAATCTTTCTCAACGCAGCCAGTTTATAATAATTTATACCTGTAAACCACATATAAATCGCAAGTATTCTCTAGTTATAATCACTCCGCGTATTTTCAGTTCTAAAATGTTGTATTTCGGCTGAGAAAGATCGTGACTCAATCCTTACGACCATATGGAAACTGAAATTTAAACCATTTCCCACTCATTCCTCACCTTAATTGGCAGAATTGACCAAGGTCCAAGTTGTTAAAAACCGTCCACTCGTCCTCGGCGTTTCATGTTAGCGAAATAGCGGTGTTAACAGGAAGTCGTTATATAATTATAGAAGAACTTAATTTGAACACGATTGCGTATATGTAATATATTGATTATAATATATACATGCAAAATATATGTCACGCTATATCCTATATGTATACAAAAGTCTGACCCCCTGAAAGTTGTGAGGATAAGACACAATTTAAAAGCAGTAAATCTAACACTAACAGACAGATCCTAACACTAACAGATGATGCTCAATATCCTAAAACGGCCGACGTCAATGCCGTTAGTTTGATATTAAACTGTTGATCTGACGTGTACTTTTTATATTGAAAACAAGAGTAATTACACATCTACGACTATGACTCTATGATAATTTATCGCCAGAGTTAAACATTTCGAGACACACAAGGCAATGCATTTTGTATTGCATACATATATGCGATGAACAAAGATGAAAGTAGTATATATTAAGTTATTTATCGCCTTCATTGGACATTAATTTGTATAGCAACAAGTTAATTGATTATATATACTTGCCTGCATGGTATTAAATTGCCTATATTTTCCCGCGGTATCTATATATATATACGTTTCTCAAACAATTATACGTCTTACTTAAACAATTATATGTCTGCCAAAAAAAGGTTTGATATGATAGTTTCGACGACATACTGTACAACAGGCAGAACTTGGTTATGAAAACACAATTTACCTACCTAAATAGAACGTATATATGCGACTTGCGTGTTGGAAGTTAAAAATCAGTATCACGCCAACGCTGCTGCTTCACGATATAGCTGCATCTTTAACTGACTAACCCTTTGCATGTTATGTCCTTAAAAGCCGCTTAAAATTTTAATAAAACATATTATCATATGCAAAACGACTCTAACTAGCGCGCAATATGACATTGACATTCAAATGAAGTCACATTTTGACATATTTTTGCAGGTTGACAACGGATTTCTAAGCGTTTATAGATATATATCTGACATCATGTCTGTACATAGTATAGTCTATATAGAGTATATATATATATTACATTTTTTCCTCGCTAATATACACACATTAATATATAATACACACATATACATATATATATATATATATATATATATATATATATATATATATATATATATATATATATATATATATATATATATATATATATATATATATATATATATATATACACAGCTGATTCAATTAAGGTTAAATAAATTTTGTTTACTTCAAATATAGTCTATGTGACTATATATTTTAAGTAAACGAAATAAAAAACTTGCTCGACTACGTAATAAATGGTATTGTCTATATTGAGCACTCTTTCTACACTATAAAAACTTGATCATTTTTTGGTGTCATTATAAATATATAAATATAGTGTTGAATTTTGGGGATTAAACATAAAACATATGTACCGCTACTCGAGTTTCTATAGAAACGATCACCAGCCAGTACTTGAGATAAAAGTAAAAACCTTTTACTCAAGAGCAGCCTGATGATCGTTGCTACGTGGAACTCGAGTAGCAGAATTTTCTATTTTTTTTTTTGTTTTAAATAATTCATCTTCATTGTATAACCGCTCTGCGTTTGCATTGAGCACTTTCTCATCGAGTATAGTTTTTTACCTCAAAAGATCATCTTTTCCCTGTGCTCTATAGAAGAGCGTCGAGCTCGCATTTCAGGTCGCGGGTTCGAAACCCAGCCGCGGCAGACAGAATTTTCTGTTTATACGCGGTTTGGGAATGTAAAGGGTGTCTAAAAAAAAAACGCTGTGCCTATGGAAATTCAACAGGCTGTCGTGCATCATAAACTTACTAGCTAAACAATTCAATTTTTACATAGGACGAAAGAGCTGTTATTTAGCTTTTCTATGATACCTTTTTAAAATCGTATATATATAACGATGAGAAATGGCCACATACTCGTCAAATAAAAATTGCCGGTCGAAGTCACATTCTTCCATTCACTGCTGCAAGCTATTTTTGTAAAACGTTTTTGATTACGAATCTTCTCTCTTCAGTGGTTAATTGAACCATGGTCCATGTTTAATGGACGTTCTTATTGTCTCACTAAGACGAAGATTGACGAGTTGAGTTCATTTTAGATAATTTAACAATTTTCGTTTTCATGCATGCAATTCTCAACGGTGGAAGAATGCGATTTCGACCAGCAATTTTTATTTGACGAGTATGTGGCCATTTCTCATCGTTACGATTTAAAAAGAGTATCATTGAAAAGCTAACTAACTGTTCTTTCGTCCTATGTAAAAGTTAATTGTCATCATCGTGATGATGCACGACAGCTTGTTGAATTTCCATAGCGTTTTTTTTAGACACCCTGTATAGGTTTACAAGTCAATACTTTACTCTTTATAGTTTATATGGTTCGAAAATAACCTCGCCGCGACATGCAGGCAGAATTTTCTGCTTTAATACGCGGTTTCGGGTCAATGTCTACGTTTACAATATTTTAGGGCATCAGTTTCTGCTACAATTATGCACCTGCTTATACAATGTCACGAGATGCTGGCACTTGCATGACCCCTTTCAAGTTTATTGATCAATATAGACAGTGTTTACACGAATGTATGTGATTAAAGAATAAAACATGAGGCTGAATTTATTTTACTCTTTAGAACTGTGGGAGGAAACCGGAGTACCCGGCTAGAACCCAAGACTTTCGGTGGAGCGGTGACTGACTCACGTAAGTGCCGAGATATAAGTGTCATGACTCCGCAGCAAGAATCCAACCTCGATTCAAACGACCGACGATCTCAGGCGGTGAAAGGCGTTTGCTCTGGCGTTTGCTCTGGCTTTTGCGCCACGGAAGCTCCAAACGCCCCATAATAATAAAGTGCTTAATTAAAGTGCCTATGACACGAAATTTCACCCCAAATGTTTATGATTGCATTGTAAAGATCACTTAAAATGACTTAATAACTTCTTTATAGAATTTTGGTAACTTGCCTACTTTGCAAGATATTCAACTTTGTTTCATACGCAAATATCACCGGTGTGACATCGCATAATGACATTTTGAAAACGCAATATTTTACCTTGATAAAAAATTTTTACAAACAAATACAGAGGGTTAATTACCAGTTATGAAATTAATATATACAGCTATTTCAATTAAGGTTGTCCACGAGCAAAGCGGAAAAGTCGAATACGAGCGCGAAAGGCTGCTGGGAATCGCTATGAAAATTCATTAATTTGTTAGCGGCGATTCCCAGCAGCCTTTTGCGCTGGTATTCGACTTTTCCGCTTTGCTCGTGGACAACCTTAATTGAAAAGTACACAAGGGCAATTTTTATGTTTTTTAGATACGTATTCGTCAAGAAAACTATACTTTTCTGAAAACTCATTATGTGATGTGATGTCACACCTGAATATCTTGAAAAGGGAGCAAGTTACCAAAATTCTATAAAAGAAATTATTAAGTCATTTTAAGTGATCTTTACAATGCAACCATAAACCTTTGGGGTCAAATTTCGTGTCATAGGCACTTTAAACACAGTCTTGTATGCATGCCTAATTGATGCATACTAACGTATTTCATGATGGGTTGGGTTTTCCATTCCCATTCTTGTGTCTTTCATTCCCAGTCCAGTAACCCAAATCCAAAAATACGCAAGTCCCAGACTCCCAGTTCCCATTTACCCCTTCAGGACCCTTGTCAATGGATTGAGCACGGTAAATTTTTTTTCTTTTCAACAAACATTTCCTCGAGAATTTTTACAAACTTTTTCGTTGTTTTAATCAATAAAATATAAATTGTTGAACAAAAACACTCAGCCACTTTATTTAATATATTACATGTAAAAGCCTGTGTTTTCATCATCGGATTATCAAACAATCGGATTATCGAAGCAGAGTATAATGGTGGTGAAGTATATGTCGCATCACTGACGTGACTGACTTACGTCACTATCAATTTTTTATTCACTCAATGGGACAACAACTACAGGAACAAACTACGTTCACACGTAAGGCAAAATCGTGTAAATATAGACACTTCCCGAAATTAATCGAGTGCGCACGAAACGATAGCTTGAAATGGAACTGTACTGAGAATCACTGATTGTGAACCGGTATCGTAACAATAATAAAGTAGTTTTATTGCCAGTCAGCAAATTCGGGAAGCGTCCATTCAGCCCCGTCCAACATCTATCAATACCGTTATATCTATTGTCACACAATTAGTATCGCACATAGCTACAAGTCTCCGTTGTGGCCTACATTTGGCCGGATAAGTGTGCGAGCTTTTTATATATAACAATGCCATTTTGAGAAATGTTTCCCTAGGCGGGTACAACATCAATGTAACTTGCTATACACTCAGGTGTAATAACAATAAAACAAGCGTTATACATCACCAAGACGCTACTCCTTCAGAGTTGTTGGTTAAAAAGTTTTCTAATTATTTGAATGCTTGACATGTAACGTCGTTGATTATTATGTGATGCATCTTTCCACCTGGAGAAAAATAACATTTAACAGAATTAGAAAATTTGTATTGGGGATGTTACACTCGACCAATGATTTGCATTATTCAAACCTTTAAAAATTGTCTTTAACTTATTTAGATGCAGGTTAATAGCATAGCATGACCAGTTGTCATGGCTAGCCTCGCCACTGCACTCAACGATGGCATAGCTGAACCTGGTGCAAGAATGTTGAAAGTTATTCGTCCCCGAGCCGGCGGCGCGAAGCGCCGTGCGAGGGTACCAATTCCGCACGGCTAATTATACCCACGTACGTGAAAACATAGCGGAGTGCAAAGTTGTCCTCCATTTTGTTTATGTCATGGACGGTTTTCGACGTTATGCGCATGCGCGAGTACAAGCTCTGTCTAAGTAATTGTTTTTCATTTTGAAAGGACGTATTTTGAACGTATTTTGCTGTTTTACAGCAATTTTTTGTTTTAAATTTCGTTAAAAAGTTTACAAAAGTACAACAAGGTTTTTTTTCCTGATTTTAACTGGAAATAAGCCGCAGTTTCATGAATTAGTGGCTGTTCAACCGTGAAACAAAGTTTGTATAATAATTGTTTTGATGTTTTGATGTTGATGTCTTTGATAATTTAAACGTTGTGCGGGTTTGGGTAAGTGTAAACATTTCAGTAGTAAAATTCCATGCCCGGCGTACTTGCTTTGTGTTATCCGTTCTTAACTCGATAATTCACTTTAATGCAAGCTGGTATGCATGAAATTGCAGTGAATGTTATCGTTCATTATAAACCTAGCGCATCAGTTGTGTTTTTATGTTTGTTTATAATGGTCTTAATACTTTATGTGGAGATTTTATACTTCATCTGTTAAGAAAGGCGAGGGGTTGCTGCACATAGAGATTATAAATAACACTAGAGGAGGCATCGAGTTTAAAAATTGGGAACGCAGCTAATGGGGGGCAAATTCAAGTCCCGGATATAAAATCGTGCTCTCATTGGCTGATTTGAAACTCGTCACCAATGGGAACACGAATACACATCCGGGACTTGAATTTGCCCCCCAATAGTCGCGTTCCCTTTTTTTTACTGAATTAAGATTACAATGCCTCCTCTAGTGTTATTTATAATCTCTATGTTGCTGCATGCATGTATTTTCTAGTAGAGATAGTATTGTGCACCAGCTAGGGTACCAACTGCTTTGTCAAACAATGTACTGTACAATGTAGCACCTCTACCAACCAACCAACCAAACAACGTATGCATGGCAAACCACCATTCCAAGCAACCATTTCATCAACCAATACATGTTCACCGAGTATACATTACCTTCGGCGAACCTCTTTCCATCTTGTCATATGTTGACTAAGAAGATCTGATGCTCCAGGACCATCAGTTTGATGAATCTGAATAAAAAATCATATCTTCGTGTGAATGAAAATGTCAAACAAATAGTTTCTGTATGTAATAGTTACATACCAATTGATTGAAAGAGGGGATCACAGTTGATTAAATCCCTTTTGATGTTAAGTACCGGGTGTCCCAAAAAAAAGTACTCCGGTTTGATTCGTAATAACTTCTAAACAAGTAAACCTTTTAAAGAGAAATAACTTGCATCAAATAGAGGAAGGACTAACTTAGATTTTGATATATTACAGTTGTATTTCACTTAAAAATTCACGGAGATATTAATGTTTAAAATCGGGACCATATTTCTGGATGTGTCTGAAATATGCAAAAAACGGCGTATCAAATATTAATCAAGATTTGCCCGACTGAAACATGTATGATTACCAGTAAATAAATGACACTTGACAAATTGTTTATTATGAAACAAAGTCTGTATAATACAAGCAATATTTATTCGTCCGAAATCTGTGTGTGTTCCTAGCACGAATACGTTTCCTTATTTCATGAGACCACTGCATCGCGAAGGATCGTCATGGATCGTTCGTAGTTCTGAATTAGGGCATGCTGTCACAATGGAATTGTGAAGCTCTTCTAACTTCTGCAATGTTCTGAATTCTTGTTAAGAACACTCAAACTCATTTGCCTTTTCTTAATCTTTTTAAGTTCACAATAAACTGAGAATGAAACACAATCAAACCATACAACTCCATAAGACATAACAATTAAGCATGCAACTCCCTGGAGACATCCAACATTTTTGGAACAAAACGTAACAAAATAGTAACGTTGATACTGTGATGTGTATTTGCAAAAAGCAATATTATTTCCTTCATTGCAGAATAATATTCATCCCGCTCTAACCGAGAAATAATCAACTCTGTTTTGAACCCATGAAAAACATAAAAAAATTAGGCTAAGAAATTTAAGCAAAAAAAAATTTAAGCGCCTGCCTTGCATGGTCTTTCATGTTAAAATTTGTAAAGTTTGTAAAGACCTATTAAATATACTTGCATAATTTCATACGTTCATATTTCAGGAAACAATGAGCTAAGACTTAGCTTACATGTAAGAAGTCTAAATCTACGCCATATCCCTTACAAACCCTAACGATAATTCGCTGAAATACAAGTTAGCCTGATATGTCATCAAGCAAACAAACGCTGAAGTTAATATTTGATATTCCGATTTTCGCTAATTTTAGACACATCCCAAAATATGCTCCCGATTTTGAACATTAATATATCCGTGAATTTTTAAGTTAAATACAACTGTAATATATCAAAATCTAAGTTAGTCCTTCCTCTATTTAATGCAAGTTATTTCTGTTTGATATCTTTACTTGTTTAGAAGTTATTATATATCAAACCGGAGTACTTTTTTTTGGGACACCCGGTAGACTGTTAAAACTTAACATAAAACGAAAATACGCAAGGCAGAATTAGATATTCGCCCATCAGCGAATGATTGTAAGACTTTTTGTAAAAAAACGATTTACACTATACGCAATTTTTGCCTAGACTTGTCGCATGCAACCTGTTTGCAACTTCAGTTGTACTGTGTAAATCAAGCATGCACCTCGGCTACGTTGTCATGGGTGGGTTGTGTGCTTGATTTACACAGTACAATTCAAGTTACAAGAAGGTTTTAAGTAATACGATTCTTTTCCTGGCGTGTGGTGTCGACTAAAGATACCAAACAATTTCCATATCTTACAAATAAGAATAATCAATGAAGAAGAGCGACGTATGAATCAACAAAAGTTCGACGCAGAGCTTGTCGCATAATGCGAAGTTTGAACGACATTGATTCATACGAATGTTAGGGTTTGTAATCCAAGTGAGAATATATACATTTTAAAACCTAACCAGGAACGACTGCGAAAAATGCAGCATAAGGTCCTCTGGTAGGAATTGAACCTACGGCCCTGCGATTCCGGTGCAGCGCTCTAACCAACTGAGCTACAGAGGCCAGCTGTTAAGCTGTAACCGTAAGTTCATGTATATATAGGTAATCGGGTGTGCGGGTTGTGATAAGGTGGACTTCAATGATTTGTATTCTTGAACTTCACTTGGTGGAATTAATATTAGAATGTTAGGGTTTGTAATCCAAGTGAGAATATATACATTTTAAGACCGAACCAGGAACGACTGCGAAAAATGCAGCACAAGGTCCTCTGGTAGGAATTGAACCTACGGTCCTGCGATTCCGGTGCAGCCGCACAACCGATTACCTATATATACATGAACTTACGGTTACAGCTTAACAGCTAGCCTCTGTAGCTCAGTTGGTTAGAGCGCTGCACCGGAATCGCAGGGCCGTAGGTTCAATTCCTACCAGAGGACCTTGTGCTGCATTTTTCGCAGTCGTTCCTGGTTAGGTCTTAAAATGTATATATTCTCACTTGGATTACAAACCCTAACATTCTAATATTAATTCCTCCAAGTGAAGTGCAAGAATCCAAATCATTGAAATTGATTCATACGCCGCTCCATTGGATTAGCCATCTTGTAATTTAAAAATAGACTTTAATATTTGTTTTGAATTATATTTATAGGTTTCGTTTGCGAATGCGCCAAACGAATGCGTTTGAATCACTGCCGTTCTTGTGTCGCTCCAGTGTCGCATCTATACTGCATAATACAATTAAGTTCAGCACATGAAGAGTACGCCGTCTCAAATGGGCCTAGGGTATAATAGAGATCGTGCTGATAATTTTTGTAACAATTTCAATTTGACGATTCAAAATAAACAAGACGCCTGCTCAGGCGTTCACACTGACCTGAAAATGACGACATACGTGCTATGGTGTAATAGACAAGAATACAAAAGAAACGGTGAAAGGCTAAAAGCGTGGCGTGATCCTCAGGAGATGTTTTCGTAATGTCCAACGAAACACAAGTGTTACTCACAAATACAAACGTTATCCATAAATGCACATGGTCTCCGAGCGTGCGATACGCTAACGCAGACAACATTGTTTACATTATTCATTAAATTCGAAAAACTCAGCGATCCAGATATTGCATTTCCAGAGACGTTGCACGAAAAAACCCCAGACCCAGTCAACTTCCAAGAAAGTGCAGAGTAGGATAAATCCAAAATCCACATAAAAACGCACCAAAATTCGTTGACAAATGAATAACTTGTTTGAGACTGAAATAGTCACTCATTGAGATAATTGAATGGCCGCCATCTTGAAAACTGATCTGTATAGTAAACTGGAACGACTGCAACACTGGAAACTGAGCCTGCGATGCGCTAACGCAAACTCGATTTCTCGACGACGAAAAAAACAGGAAAAAACAGATATTTTAGGGATTTAAGACACTTGACCTTTCAGGTCAGTGTAATAACCATGCTTGTAAACGACTGGAAGGCGTCACAAGAAAAGTGATTATCTTTACGCCATACTTACGTCATCTGCATCCCATTCTTCAACTCGAGTTTGGCGAACAGGATCAGGTATTCTAGAACATGACAAGTTCTCACCAACTGGAGGCGGTAGACTGCAAACGTAATATACGGAGTTAACAAAATGAAGAACTATAATGTAAAGTCACAGTGTCACACGTATCATAAAAAAAATACGGTAGGGTATGATACCTGTGCAAAACATCTGATTTTTGTCCAGGTTCCTGCAGAAAACAAATACGGTGTGCAGTGTTAGCATATACTCGAGAGGTGCATGGATACTGCCTTTTGCGCAATTTGATTGGTTGCTGAGCTCCAGATATCCTCATACTATTCACCTCCGGACAAAAACAAAATGGCTTCCCGTTTCACTCCAGTTACAGACGAGCAAATTTTTCTACAAAACACAGCTGCCGTTCCGTCAAGCACAAAGAAAGCCACAAAGTTTTTTTAAACAGTGTGTATATACTGTAGAGGTATTCTTTAAAATTATTTTTAATGAATAAAGCAAGTATAAAAGGTTGTAAATGCTGTTTTGTATACAACTATTATGGCCTTTACGGGAGCCGTAATATAAATTGTTTTTAAAATATTTTTGTTGTTTTTTGGTCATTTTTGTTTTGTTATGGTCATTTTCGTTTTGCTATAGTATATGCTACAGTAAAACAATTATTCACCTCGGTGTCGGTGAATAGTGCAAGGATATTTCCACTTCGGCGAATAACTATAGAAATATTCTTGCCGTAACTTACTGATATACTTGGACTTTCAGGTGCAGAATCTTTTTCTGCTTCATGAGGTTTGTTTTTCATCCACGCACGAGCCAACATATATAGTGAAGTATCCTTGTTAAACTTCGCGAAGTCCACACTACGGTCAAATAACTTGTGAATGTACCTGCACAGAAAATAAATACAATTAAATGCCAAAGGAAGATTTAATGGAAATATACAGGATCACAGGGTGCGGTTTAAAAGCCCACCCTGTAATCCAGTATAAGCCCACCGAATATAAGGCCCTCAGTGTATAATCCTGAACTGTCTGTGTCAGTGTAGGTAGTGCCAATAATATAAACAAACTTTCGTTGATAGGGATGCAACTACCTGAAAAATATATTAGGAGAAAAATATATTATTTCGACGTTTCGAGCGTCTAGCCTTTCGCCTGGAGTTATACTAGAAAAGTAACTCCAGACGAAGGGCCTTCGCTCGAAACGGCGAAATTCTCATTATATTTCTCAGTGTATAAGCCCATGCACCATATTCACAAATGCTCAGGCCATTCCGAATATAAGCCCCTCCCCACGAATATAAACCTCTCTGTGTATATAAGCCCATGCACATATTCACAAATGCTGGGCCATTCCGAATATAAGCCCCCCCCCCCCCAACGAATATAAACCTCTCTGTGTATAAGCCCATGCACCATATTCACAAATGCTCAGGCCATTCCGAATATAAGCCTCTCCCCCCCCAACGAATATAAACCTCTCTGTGTATACGCACATGGGCTTATCATTGGACGGATTTATTAACGTAGCGACAGGGATATCAACAGCTCAGGCGAGTGACGATAATTACTTTACAGCATTAATATGTAAACCAACTTGTTTTATTATGTGGTATGTATAGTATTTTAAATTTATATTTCTTTTCGTTTACGGTATAGTTTACAGTCAGGTACATTAAATATTATTACTAACACCAAATGTCGTCCGTATATAAGCCCCTCGTATATAAGCCCCCCCCCCCCTCCCCAATGTATAAGTCCATCAAAAAATGTCTACGAACAAATATAAGCCCAGGGCTTATATTCGGAATGGAGGTTTAAAACTATCGATGTTTCATCAAGTTATGAATAACTAGAACAGCAGCATGTCACATTTGAATTCTAGCGCAATATTGACGACCAAGATACTGGTGTTTTAAATGTGTTGAAAGAGACATATCCAATCTCCGTTTGTGACAGGGTTGTGGGTGTCCTTTTGTGAGCAGCAGGGGACGGGGTTATACGAAGGATGGATAGTGCTATGATCCACCAGATAGTGACTTTTTTCAACCGACGCAAAAATGCTTGAAAGTGCAAAAAATGAAATACAGTGCAAAAAGTGAAAATAATACAAAAAACCCAAACATTACGAGTGACAAAATTTTCTAATAAAATTGTTTATATTAAAATGATCTGTTTCGCATGTGACCCACGCATGGAGATGCATATTTTTTTCAAGTATATTATTAATAAGTAATATTACGGTTTCTCGTGGAATTTGGAAAAAACATACACTCGTGAGTTTTCAAAGACTTTAAATTGCAATTTTGATGCTCTTTGAAAAACTCACTCGTGCATGTTTTATCCCAATTGCACTCGAAACCATCCTATTATATACCATACCAATCAAAGACAATTCTAGAAAGCTTGAAAAAAATCACTATATCTGGCGGATAGCGCTATCCAGCTTTTGTACAACTGATCTTAATATCCGTATAACCACTGTAATCCTACTGCCACTGTAATCCTACTGCCACTTTTTCATCATGCCTCACATATACGTAAAAAACATATTCCTAAAAAGGGACTGCTTCCTCTTGCCAAAAAAAAAACGTGCCACGTTTTTTTGTCAATAGATTCAGAAATGCGAGTACATTCCTACGCCTTTTGCTGTTAAGCTGTCAAACTATTATAATTAGCTAATCTCAGCGTAATTTCTCACGGACCAATCAGACGTCGCCATATCCCAAGATGTCAATGTTCACGACATTACAAAAGCATGACACGTTTTTTCGGCAGAAAAGAAACCACGGACACGGTTTTGCAAAAGAAGCCATGGACACGGTTTTGGAAAAGAAGCCATGGACACGGTTTTGCAAAAGAAGCCATGGACACGGTTTTGGAAAAGAAGCCATGGACATGGTTTTGCAAAAGAAGCCATGGACACGGTTTTGCAAAAGAAGCCACGGACATGGTTTTGGAAAAGAAGCCATGGACATGGTTTTGCAAAAGAAGCCATGGACACGGTTTTGGAAAAGAAGCCACGGACATGGTTTTGGAAAAGAAGCCATGGACATGGTTTTGCAAAAGAAGCCATGGACACGGTTTTGCATGCGTGCATGTGTATAAATAGTAAAAGTTTTGTATACATACGTTGCTGTGATGTCATCATCAGAACGAATCAATATTGAAAAAAAGAAAAAGACGAGCGTTAATTCATGCAGTTGATTTCAGATAAATCATAAAATTTACAATTATAAGGTGAACATACTTTGGGTTGGTAAAGCCACCTGATTGTCTGTAATGAAAAGAGAAAAAATTGATTGCCAAATTTTAAAATAACTTAAAAAAACACGAGAGTAAATCGACATAAAAGTTACTTCAACAAAGTTATCATAGCTATCCCGTATCCACAAACGATGAAATTGACGACTTAAATTTTGACTTCTCAGGATATATAGACCCATTGTACATGGCGTCACAGCGCCGGTGACGATGCATCTGGAGGACGATGCATCTGGAGGACGATGCATCTGGAGGACGATGCATCTAAGGACTTGTGACGTCAGTGCAATGGGTCTATACATATTATAATGAAAATTCAACCAATCTAAACATTCTGCCGTTTACCAAGTGCATGCAATCTAATAAATTACATTTGGTATAAGTTATATTATATCAAAATATATCAAGTTGAGTTAATTCTAATACTATATTAGGTCCGGTTGTTATAGCTCTAACACTGGGTTAAGATTTAACCCGCTGTTTTGGTTTGTGTATTTCTGCACGTCTGTTTATTGCAAAACTTCAGAGAAGTAAACGCCTTTTGATCCAGACCTTATCTCTGAAGAACTATTTCCAAATTGATCAACAAGCTGTTGGGAAGTTTGCTTTCAATTTTACAGGTTGTACACCCTTTGGTGAAGGTGAAATTCAAGGACTTTTCCAGGACTTTCAAAGCCCTTTTTCAGTAAACTCAAGGAGCTAAAACTGGGAAAAATCTTTGAAAATGGCACGGATTTGCCGTAAACAAATCACTTCAGTAATTTTAATCAAAATCACTAATGTTGGCACAGCTGGAGGTTAAGGAAATTAATTCCAGGACTTTCAAGGACTTCTACTGATTTTCAAGGACTTTCCAGTGCTGGCATTTTTTTCGAACAACTGGCCGCAGTATAACAAAAATAATGCTTATATACCAGTGTCTTGTGGCGGATTCTCTCTTTTTATCCTCTTCCTTGGTGTTCTGTTTCCTGGAATATGGACACATTTAACATATAAATTACTGTCGTTCCAATTGAAGTGTTGCTCAAATATTGATTCAATACATTATTTCGGGCTGACCAATTCATTTGATCAAGTTCCTCGAGATATTCATAAACTTCCTAGTATAATTGTAAACTTCCTGTTGAATAGTTTGAATGCACCAATCACCTTTGTTGTTTGTGCAACTAACCAATCATAAATAGAAAGGAAGTGACCAGAAATGATCAAATACTTGGAATTGGCTCTTTCACAGGAAGTGTATGAATATCTCGAGGAACTTGATCAAATGAATTGGTCAGCCCGAGGTAATGTATTGAATCAATATTTTAGCAACACTTCAATTGGAACGACAGTAATTTACAAAGGACATGTATAGAATTTACACGAATTTTTTTTTCAAAATATGTGAAAATATATGTAAATCGAATTAAGATGGGTGATACAGTATTTTGTAACAATGTATGTCACAGTCAATACATTGCTAAAACATTGTTCTAGGTGGTTGTCTAGCCACTGTAAGAAAAAATGTAATCAGTTACCTGATGACGTTCTGTAGTTGTACCAAACGTTCAGATGTGAGAAAGAAACAAAAAACAACATGAATTTACTGGAAAAATATTATGACAATAGGTTTCGACATTAAAACAGCATACATTATATAGAATTATACCTTTTACGTGGAGTTGACGGCTGAGAGCCAGCTGTTGATCTATAGTAACCGTAGAAATATTATTTACAGTTGAATAACTTAGACTCCATTTACCAAGGCTGTATATTATTCAAAGGATGAGAAATTAAGGTTCACATTCATTCATTTTGATGTTTTAATATTTCATCTTATTTTAGCATGCACTCTCACAAATGGGACCTCTGGAATGGGACAATCCACCGTTTCTGAAGGAACCAATCTTGTGTTAATGCCCAAGGAACAATGGCTGCTATAAAAACTTTGACTAGTGGCGGACACTGTTCACGATATTTCGTGATTTCAAGATATCTTTAATCAGATCTTATTCAACCACAAAAAGCCTGATACCGAATTTCACATGCAGTGTTTGTAAACGAACGTAGAAGGCCATTTAATTCTAATCATTAATCGTTATAGTAATATGCAAGTATGCAACTGCCATAGTGCAGATGCTAAAGACTACAATCTTGATCTATAAGAGCATCAAAGAATCTAAATTAAAACTCTATCAACTTCTCAACTGGTAAAACTCTGAATTTTTTATTTATCAGTCAAGTTCATACTATTCTACACATTCATAGTCCAGCGGACTGTTGCAAGTCTAGCACTGGCATTGCGGTATTTCTCGTGACAATGAATTTTCATTGAAAATGAATCTTCATAGTCAACCGCTTTCCCACAGTTGAACAGACTTTTTTCGTGACTAAAATGTCTTCATATATAACCCACTCAAACAATAATTCTTTTGCATTAGCGTAATTAATCCACTCAAAATTGACAGAAACTTATGAAGCTTGCTTCAGAGTGCGAGAAGAGATGATAAGAAACTTGCCAGAGAGAATCTCAAAAGATATGATGGAAATCTTTTGCAGGATCAGAAGGGTGACTCGGTATCCTCTCCCATTGTGCTGAAACCTTCTGTAATTGTTTTGCATGGACAAACCCAGTGGCTTCCAATTTCTTTCTTGTGACTGGTGAAGTAGAAAAATTGTGGGAAGACTTGAGTTGACGCCATTTATAACATTGTTGGCTGGCTTTACTGTATGAAAATATCTTGCCATATTTACATGGAAATCAAGGGATGCGTATAGCATAATGAACAAAAGACAACCAAGAATAATTTGTCATAAGCGTAGCAGCAACAACTCCATAAACAGATACGCAGGCCCGTCAGTCTCAGTTCCAAACGCGAAATAAGTTGCGAACGAACCCAGTTGTTGGCGCAAAACTCTCTCAGTCACGACCGTCTGAACATCTATTTCCTTCAGGACCCCTCCGTGGACCACTCCGGACGTCATCAGTTTACAAACATGACGCAGATCGACATGAGCACTTCATGCCCGGTCTCTTTGTATTTATCAAAAAGCATTCAACACACCAGCTCTCTCTATCTGCTCTTCTATTTCATGTCTCACTTCAGCTGCCATTGCTTTTATTAACGCCATTGAAGAACGCTTTAACATATTGTACATCTTTGAATATCGTGCACATTGGTGCATAACATTACACACTGAGAAATTCTCAAATTCTTCCCAATTTCCTCCATTGAAAGACTTGTGCATTTTATCTTACAGTATAAGTACTGCTAATATACTACAATGTACTATGTGCAGGCTAACATACATCCTATTCACTGGAAATTTTTTTATTAAAAATAAATTGTTATATATTTATAAAGTTTGTTCGTTCACTGCAACCAGGTATATCAATCATGTTTCGCTCGCTACTCTGGTTTAAATAAATGTTATAAATGATCACAAAGCCCAGTCGAATTGTAATCAAGACCCAACGTTTCGACACTCCAGTCTAGTGTCTTCATCAGGGGTGATCTGAAACTGCGATCGTGGCTTCTTAAATACCCAAGGGATGACGTCACCTGCCAAGAAGATGCATATATTCTTCTGGCAATAGGGATGACGGCGCCTATTTGCCAGAAGAATATATGCATCTTCTTGGCAGGTGACGTCATCCCTTGGGTATTTAAGAAGCCACGATCGCAGTTTCAGATCACCCCTGATGAAGACACTAGACTGGAGTGTCGAAACGTTGGGTCTTGATTACAATTCGACTGGGCTTTGTAATCATTTATTTAAACCAGAGTAGCGAGCGAAACATGATTGTTATATATTTGTTATTTAAATTGGTACAAAGTTTTTTTATTAAATTTCCATTTTTGAATGTAAAAACTGAATTCTTTCTTAGCATTATTGGTTATTATAGATTTCCCATATGGTAAATTAGTAAAAACTAGGGATGAGCCGATAAGGAAAATTGCCGATTACTGAGGCCGATTATTTATAAGCCGATTATTGTAACTAATCGGCCGATTAATCGGTACCCACCGATTATTTTAAAAAGCAAGCGAAAAATCACAAGATGACCAACAATGAAGTTGTAAATGCGGTTTTATTGTTACAATACACACTTTGTACAATTAAAAACAGCTTCAGTCTCGCATGTCAATAGTCAAAGTTTATAATAAGTTTTTAGACGTTCTCTGGTTTTTAAATATTTATTATTACGAGCTTTCGACTGCCAGTCTGCAGTCTTCAACGGGTGGATTACACTTGAGACAAAAGACACAGGTTTTGCAACAAAATGTGAAAATCTATTCGCTTGTATTCAGTATTTTAGCATGTGATTGGCAGCTGCAGAAAAAGTCTTATGGCCGATTATCAGGCAATAATCGGCCGATTACCGATTATTTAGAAAACGGCCGATTAATCGGCTTTGCCGATTATTTACCGATTAATCGGCTCATCCCTAGTAAAAACCATGATGTTTAATATTTAACAACCAGGAAAATACCATTTATAAAGTAATTAACATAATGGTTTTTACGAATTTACCATATGAGAAATCTATAATAACCAATAATGGTAAGAGTTCAGTTTTTACATTGTAATATTTTTTTGAATTTGAATTTATTAAATTTGCCAATAACGTACATACTATGCATACACACAAATATTACAAATTACAAAAGACTCTAACTGGTAGGGGTTGGATACAGGGCTGGTGTCCCAATTGCCATCCTACCCCTTACAACAATACAATAAAAATTATACATGTACTGTAAGACTATATTAACTAGGTAGACTATAGGAATCCAATTTTGCAATGTATAAATTAGTTTGGTTTTAAATAAAGCAAATGAATCACAAGCCTTCAAATTGGAAGGTAACTAAGCTATTCCAATGTTCAGTAGAACAGTGTTCTATTAAAGAAAGACTTCCTAAAATAATCTTGTTTGTGTTTATGATCAAATTATAATTGTTAGGATCATAGTTACGGGTCTGATAGCGGGAGACAAAAGTGTTTTATACTTGTTTACATCAAATGATATAAGTTTATTTCTTGACTTGAAAAACAACATTAAGAAAAACTACATTCTGAAATCTCTTTTCTGAATTCTAAAGGTAGCAGGGCATGTCTTTGGGATAGTTTAAGGTAATATGTGTAGCTCTTCGCTGCACATTTTCAACAAGTAAACAATGTTTAATTGTATAAGGAGACCATATAGGCCACTACAGTTCTCACACTTTGGTCTAACAATTGTACAATAAAGGAGTTTCCTGGTGCTGAGGTCGTTTGATGTCCTTACACAACCTTTTAACAAGCCCAAGAGTCCTATTTGCTTTAGAGACAATGTTTTCAATGTGTGTAGACCATGAAAGATTGTTTACTTAGTAACAGTAATTCCAAGATCCAATATATTTTGGACACTTTGTAACTGATTACCTGCCAAGCTATAGTATCTGGGTGTTTGGTGAAACACCAATTTCTTCCTTGAAAAATGTACAACTTTGTATTTGTTTACATTGTATGACATCACCCAGTTTTCGCTCCAATGGTGGAGACAATCAATTTCTTTTTGAAGACAATAACTGTCATTTGGCAGATGAATAGGGTGTGATTGGTGAATTATGTTCAGTATTCACTGATAGATCATTTATGTATACCAGAAAGAGAAGGGGCCCAAGGATAGACTCCTGAGGTACACCTGATGTAACATGAAGCCAGTCAGAAGACTGTCTGTCGATGACTATTCTTTGTTGTCTCACTGATAAATAACTACGGAACCAGGAAAGGGTGGAACCAGAAATACCGTATGATTCAAGTTTTAATAACAACAGTGTGGATTTGCTTTCTAGATATTTAGTTATTCCCAGTGGTACTAAAGCAAAGCATCACTCTGGAGGTATCAATCTGTGATTAGTTACAGTTTTTAATTTATCAGGATTGAATAGGGAATTCCTGTATTTTTCCTTCAGCACAGCTTCTTTTGTGCAGAAAAAGGACATATACAAGTTCTTGTCCAGCAACCCCAGCATCCGTGCAACCATCTGTAAGAAGTGAGTAATACGACTAATATCATTTGGCATTGACTAAGTCTTTCAAAAGGTGATCTTTCATCATATTCCCTGTGCTATCATAAAGGTTTCCAGCTGCTCGGTCGTTGGCGTAACATTCTAATTTCATAACACCATTATGCTGTTGAAGTGAAAGGAGTGACCATAATCCCTAAATGGCTGCTATTGTTTCACCAGGTAGAAGACAGTACTTATTAAAGCAAACACACATTGTTTATTTGTCAACCTCAGCCATTTCTGCTAGACTTTGAACCAACCCATAACTTTCAACTATTTATAGAGCATACTAGTCAGTTCAATACACTCACTGCAAGTACTGATCAATAAAAAACAATTATAATAATTCTTCATGGATATGATCATGTTGTAAGTCGGATAGACGATGATTAGTTATATCTCCCATTGAACACATGTGATCATTGTCTATCCTATACTTATTGAGGCTCTTTTCCACTCGTCTTAAAAACCAACTTGCAAGCTCATTGCCAGTATTTGCATCTAATTAAAATAAACTGTCGAGCATTGTGATTGGTTGAAAGCTAGGGGTGCACCGGATTTGGAATTTTCAAATCCGGCCGGAACCGGATTTACCGGATTTGGACAAAAATTCCAGCCGGAATTCCGGCTGGATTTAAAATAAACCGGTAATGGGGACAATTGTGGATAAATCAGTATTCAAAATGGCGGTTTATGTTTTTTACTATTTTAGTTAGGGTCAGTTTAGATTTTTGATTGTGTTTAAACCTTTTTTAAATATTTTTGTTAATAACTTAATATTTTATAATAATATAAGTGTTTTTTAAACTCTAAAGCTGCCAAATGGATGGTTTATCCCATTCTTGGTGAATTTTTAAGGTGAAAACAGAAATTTAAAATCCGGCCATACTTTCTCCAAATCCGGCCGAATACCGCATGCCGGAAAATTCGTTAAATCCGGCCGGATTTGAAATCCGGTGCACCTCTATTGAAAGCACTCGCAGCCCTGACTGGAAAATTTGGATTTTGACATTGCGCACCGGAGATTTCAAAAATTTAATAGTAAATATATAGAAAGCATTAAAATTGCTCGCCAGAGATATCCGCTGCGTGATACAAACTTTCCACACTGGCTCGCAGCAAGCTTGTGAGTTGACTGCTGTGATGGATGGAAAAGAGGCTTTATCCCATGTCTCCAAAACTCTTTTCTGGACCCTTACGGGGCAGCAAATTACATATTCAAATGATTGCCAATCATTGGTTCGATCATTTATTAATATATAAAATATGCATTTGTCACACCTGTCTGTTTCTTTTACATCCTCATTTAAAGGTGGACTAAAATCAAAACAAATGAATTATTGAAGTTAAGGAAATCATATTTGGTGGTAGACCAAAATGATAAAAAATGTTCAATATAAAAATACCTTAACGCTTCTTGTTTTTCTGCAAGCTGTTTGAGCAAATCATCCAACGTGCTTCTGGCGTCAGTTAAACGGCCTGCCATGCCTCTATTTTGAATATTTTTATTCTGATAGCTCACAAAGTGTATCTATACCTTGGCTTACATATTTAACTATGCCCGACTAATTTAAAAACAACAAAATTTAAATATTATAGTCTAGCAAAAGTCGTTTTCCCCACTGATTTGGCGGCCATTTTCACATTCAGAAATTTTGCCAATTCACAGTAGATTTTGGGATTCGCTGATATATTCGGAGTTTCTATTGGTCAATGAATGTTAAATCAAATATATCGCCGTAGTTGATTGGTTCTTGAAAACCTTGTACCCAGTCCAACTTGCAATTGAGACTTTCGCATCGGTTCTTATGCTTTTTGGCCAACAACATGGGTTCTAGAATGGTTGCCTCGTGCACTGTAGAGTGTAGAAATGCCACAAATTCATGTTAAAGGCTTTTACTTCAAGCCATTATTTGTTTAAAACATGGTTACGAGATGAAGTAAGTGTAGATGGAAAGGCGAGAAAGAAAGAAAGACCTCTCCACAAACATGAATCACGAGGCAGCAATGGATAGTTTCTTAGACCTACTTGGCCTGTACAGAAAACCCATTGCAAAGGATGGATCATGTTTGTTTAGAGCTGTTGCTGAACAAGTAAGTATGTTTAGGTAGTACAGGTTTTCCTGTTCATTTTAGCTGTTGTGTTCGTTGATGTCTATTTAGACATGCATACATTCAATACTGTTTTATTTCATAATTTAATTATTGAAAATAAAATCTCGTATTTCATAAATAGTATGTTAATTTATTAAATTTAGGGATTGGATACAGGTGTGACACAAGATCCCAATGTGTAAATACTATTGTTTTGAAACAATTATTTACCATGTAAATGGGACGTTCCAGATAAGATCTATCCCCCATTGGGGACAATTTATGCTCTTCAGAGGGGGGTGGAGGCAGTTCAGATGTCCAAAGGGGGTAGGGGGAATGTCAACCCAAATTTATCCATAGGGTTAAAAGACCAAGATACAGTTATGTGATTGCATATCAACAGTGATTTTAGCAACCTAGGCCCCATTCACACGGTGGCCGGATGAATTTGTAACCATACTCAAACCTGTTGGATTTCACCTTACGTTCACACAAGATGCATGAAACCAGACAAATTCTAGCACAGCTAACTGTACAGATTCGAAACCAAGTAAAATTAGATCTTGTTATTAGCTAGTTTCGCATGAAACTATATTCATTGTGTATATATGTTATTTACATTGTGCAAATGTTCCTGTGCTGTTTTGTACTTGTGTATTAAGCTATGTATTATGTGTATTGTATTTGTTAAACCTGATCGTCAACGTAATTGTCTTACGCTGTGTTGACGTTTCTGTGCCGTTTTGTACTAGCATAAATTTTGTAAACGGCAAAGTTTATAAATAAATAGAATGACTCAGGACTATCCTTCCTCCTATTCTGCTTCTGATATTATCAGCTTCTTCTCACTTGAGTTTTGTGCCCCTGTACTTCATCTTGGATATCTATGTGACGATCTTGCACACATACAAAAGTGCTTGCTATCTATTACATCTCCGGAATTATCCTATACCGGTACAGACAATCTTAAATTACACAATGTTAGGACTGTCAAGGACAGACACCAGAAACTTTGCAAGAAACTTTTCAATGCAGTTATGTCCAATACTGATCATAAGTTTCACCATCTTTTACCAACCTAAACCCATCATAAGCTTCATTATCTTTTACCAACCTAAGAAGACACCTTCCTTTTGATTGTCCAGCTTCACAAACTAATTGTTACAAAAACTGTTTTATTCTCTCAAATTATGTCAAATGAGTAGTTACTAAAGAATTTACTCCTTTTGTTTTATATATTAATTAATATGTATGTATGTGTGATATTATTATATCATTTGTAAATTTTACGCAATTCGGTCTTTTTCAAGACAATTTTGCACGGTAGAGGATTGGGTTTGAGACTGATTGAGACCATCTGTGCACACATATGTAAATGCTTCCATTTGAACACTTTGCATCTTGTAATTAAATCCAGATTGTAGGCTTATAGCATAAAATGTTTCAATAACAGCAACATGTCCATAACTAAAATAAGCGTGACCTACAGGAAAATATCTTGCTTGGTGCATACCATATGAGATGGGAATGCTTGGATTTTCAATTACGGTACTGGATGGGACTTGGTCAATTCAAGTCTGACAGAATTATGATTTATATTCAGTGACAGAAGTAAACTGAGCACTAATTAAACCATTAACTCTACAAACAGGTCAGTTATCAGTACTGCATGGCGATATTGCTTATGATTTATAGGTTCATATCTTCAGTTAGCGCACCCAACAAGGACAAAAATACCAGTGTTTGATTAATTCTTGGGTTTCAGTCATACATGTCATCTTTTAGCATTATTTGACTCAAGTGAGGGTCAGGGGTCAATTACTGAACTTCAAAGTAAACTAAAACAACAAAGAAACAAAATGGCTGTCAATGCATCTTATATGTAAATGAGTCTTCCAACTATTATAAAAGCCAATATAAAACAATATAAACAATATCAAAGCTGTCCTTGACACAGACCCATCCTAACAACATTTTACCAATTTATGGCCTTTGAAAGTCGAGCGAGATTGTACACAATGAAATCACTCAATTTTCATGATACAATTACCATACATAATACAGTATCTTCGATATTTTGTTTTGCTTAGTGTTTTGACAGCAGTTACTGCAACTGACATGGTTAGGAAGGGCCTTGTTTGCCTGCAAACACCAAGTGGAAATTATTAGACAACCCTCTGCTGAATATTTTTTCCCATCATAATTTATGTATAGGACAAGTGATTTAGCTAAAATATACCCTGCAAATAAAATATGTTTTGGCACTTGTATCACCTGTTTAAATTACATTAATTTTATCATCCTCACCCTGGACACCAGGATGCGATAAATTCCATACTTACGTTCTGGAAGTACGCCAATATTACGGTCTGGTATTTCTTTGTTTTCAACCAAGTACCGCATAAGTACGCGGAACTCTTGCTATCTGCATACTTACATTTTGCTGATACCATATGACCTTTCTGTGTCCAAGCCTAAGGTATTCAAAACCGTAATTAAGTCTGTATATGTGTAAGCCTGACATCTCTTTGCCTGAAACATGACTGGACTGATAGGACTAAGGAATGTTGGAGTCGATTGTAGTGTTTCTATATGCAATTATAGTTCTTGTTCAAACTCATAGTTTCGGGTTACTAAATGAATACCTTTCAGAAACCTGTCCTTTATGTACTTCATTTTAAAGACTAAAGTACACCTTGAGTCTTAAGTTTCTACCAGCTCAGGTATTGTATGTGGCAATAATCGTTGGAGAACCAGTCAGCAGGGCTGTCACAATCAAATTTAAGAATTCCTTAGATTGCAAAAAAAATCCGAAAGTTTCTTTACATTTCTGTAAAATTCCTTAGACGAACATAAAATGAAGTATTTCAATTACTACGTCATTATGTGGAAAAAAATTTAAAATACATTTTAATTTAAGAATATTATTACTGACATGTTTTAAACACAGGTGCGTCGGAGCGGCTCTAAAAGTGGGGGGGGCACACTTAGCGCCCACCAAACGCGGGTGATATTTTAGGGGGTCCAGGGCAGTGGCCAGACCTTCATGTTTGGAGGGGCGAAGCTAACACCAAAGGCATGAGATCATCTAGGGGTGTCTGGGGGCATGCACCCCAGGGAAAATTTTGAAATCTAGAGTCCCTGAAATGTGATTTTCAGGCATTTTGGGGGTGAAATCTGGCAGAATTCCGAAGATTATATAAAGTACATCGAAGACATAAATTTTCCCAGACATTTCTACTTGGAATTAAATAAATTGGAAAAGTCACCTTGAAAAACAGGAGGAGTGGTCACTGTCACATTATTTCCCCCTCTATGGAGAAAATCCCAATGTGATTTTGTAGACACCATTTCTGCATTCTCAAAATTGCGTTGCTTTTTTATACAATACAGAATAAGTCTGAGAAGAAAATTCATGCTATGATAATGCATACATTTGAATTTAAACTAAATCTATTCTTCTTGGAACCATATCTACAACCGCTTTAACGAGATTTTACAAATCAAGTTCCTCCTTTATTTCGTGGTTTTCCTCAATCGAGACCTATTTAATCAGTTTCAGCTTCGAACATGTAACACGCCCCCCCCTATGCCACTGGTCCAGGGGCATGCTCCTCGGCGTCCGGAAAAATTTTGAGTTCTAAAGGTAACAAAATGTCATAAAATATCTCAAATTGTTTTGTCTACACACGTAACTGAAATAATATCAATTGACTTTGTGGTTTATTATTGACCATTGTCAAAAAGTGGGGCAGCCCAAAGACATTTAGGCCCCCCAACTAAAAAAGTGGTGATGAGACCCCCGGCTTCCGACGCCCTGTTTAAACATGAGCGGTTTTAACCCGACATTTCCGAAGAGTCTGATTCTGAGTCAGCCGAAGAAATACTTGAAACAAGGCCTGAAAAGAAAACAAAAAGGTGTACACACAACAATTCAGGCACCAGTGCCACATCAACGTGTACGAAACTAGGTAAAAGTATGCTGATGCTTGTGTGGTGTCCGCTTTGCCCGTGCGGGCGGAGCGACCAATTTTAATCACGTGAAAAATCAGTCGCCCGGGCACGCCAAGAAAGTTGAATGTAGTTCTACTTTCATGGCGTGTCTTTGAGCATTCAGGCGGACAAAAAATGCACAGGATAGGCAACTACAGAGAAAGTTGAGTAATATTCGCTCCGCCCGCGCGGACAAAGCGACTGCAATGGAAAATTGTCTTAACTCTGAGTGTATATCCACACCGGGCAGACTTGAAAAATATGCCTGGCGACGGTGGGAATCGAACCTACGTCCTTGGGAATACTAGCCCAATGCTCTGCCAACTGAGCTACGCGGTCAGGTCGCGTATAAAATATCTGTTTTATCCAGTCTGACTGTTTCGACTGAAATTGCAAGAAATTCCTTAAAAAATTCCTTAAAAAATGTGATTCCTTAGATTCGTCCTTAAAAGCTTGCGAATTTCCTTGTTTTAAGGAAATTTCCTTAAATGTGAGAGCGCTGCCAGTCAGGTACGACTAAAAATGTTGAAATATCGCACCCTGGACATGCATACATTTCTTCTCTGGGAGGTGTTTTGTCTTCTGTCACATTACAAGGAAAGGCAAGCTTTAGCATACTGTAGTTGTTTCTTTTGACAAATATTAGAAATGGGATTGTGCTCATTATTCAGACAATGAAACCATGTGAATAGCATGCCATAAGTGTGCTGTTACTCAACAATATGTTATCAGCCAAATGTTGTTCGACAGTAATATGATGAATTTTTCTGTGTTGGTGTTGTGTACTCAGGTGAATAATATGTTTGCGATGTTACTCTGAGTGCATATCCACACCGGGCGAGCTAGCCTGCGAACAGGCTCTCAAGCTGAATTGAGAGCCTGCATTGATGACGAATGAATTTGAATATCTGCCCCGTAACGTTCGTTCTTCCAAATATGGAATGCCTATCCTTATATGGTGTTGTTTACAACTTTCGTGCAAACTAAATTTAGACCGTGCAAACTAAATTTAGACCGTACAGTTTATACTGTTTTTCGAAATATAAGATATTCAAGCAAAAGTTCAAATGTTTTAAATACTGCTTTCTCAAATCAGATCATTTCGTGCTTTGAGATAAGATGGCCAAAACCAATTTGATCATTTAATGTGTTTTTTATGCATTTAAGTGCTGCAGTTGACATATATAGAGCTCAGCGGAAACATATAAATTATAGCATCTGACCAATGAGAATTTCGCGTCACGATTTGAGACGCAGATATTCGAATTCATTAGTCATCGATGCAGGCTCTCAATTCAGCTTGAGAGCCTGTTCGCAGGCTACGGGCGAGCTTGAAAAATATGCCCGGCCACGGTGGGATTCGAACCTACGACCTTTGGAATACTAGCCCAATGCTCTTCCAACTGAACTACGCGGTCAGGACGGTTCGAGTAAGTGATATTTCGGAACAGTATCCAGTTCCTTCAATACCAATGTGTTCTAGTAATATGAATTTTTCTGTGTTGGTGTTGTGTACTCAGGTGAATAATATGTTTGCGATGTTACTCTGAGTGCATATCCACACCGGGCGAGCTTGAAAAATATGCCCGGCCACGGTGGGATTCGAACCTACGACCTTTGGAATACTAGCCCAATGCTCTTCCAACTGAGCTACGCGGTCAGGACGGTTCGAGTAAGTAAGTTCTAGTATTCCAAAGGTCGTAGGTTCGAATCCCACCGTGGCCGGGCATATTTTTCAAGCTCGTCCGGTGTGGATATGCACTCAGAGTAACATCGCAAACATAGTAATATGATGATCAACGGTTTTTGAATCTAAAATGATTTAAAATCTATTGAATTGCAGATTTTTAACTGTCAAGCAGAACATACACGTGTAAGGAAGGAATGCATCGAATACATGAAGAAAAATGAAGACAGATTTGAAGCGGTAAGAATAAGTAGGATTCGAGTCTAAAAGTAATTGGTATAGGAGTGGACTATATATATTCCAAAATGTTGTGCTGAGTGGTTATATTACTACCTTAAAAAATAAGCTGAAACTCGACGTTTCGAGCGAAGGCCCTTCGTCAAGAGTTAGGCCCTTCGCTTCGATGTTTGAAGTCATGTCAATGACTTCAAACATTGCCGTGAAGCTAGGGGTGTATATTCTTCTATAATGGGGAGGGGGAAGGAACCAAAGGGTCTTTAAGGGCCAGGGAAGAAATTCAAAGAAGAGTGAAAAAGAAAGGAAGGGAAAGGAAAAGAAAGAGGGAAAAGAAGAGAACAAAGGGAAAAGAAAGGAAAGGGCAAAAGGAAAATGAGGGGCAAAAGGAAAAGAAGAGAAAGGAGGAGCCCAGACTCCGATACCGTGCCCAAATTTCTTCAAGATACAGGGAAGAAAACTAAGCTGAAGAGGGGGGGGGGGGAGGAATCAAAGGCATTGGCTGTGTACGGAATTTTTCGTCAATTCTACAACATTTTTCATGTAATATGTCATGTACATGTCATTGTAACTACAGTACGTGACAAGTTTATAATTGTGGTAGAAATTTACTTTTCTGTATTTCTTTTGTTGATATTTATCTTTAGATTTTAACTTATATTTATTATACGCTTACACATAAACTGCACAACATTTCTTGAAAAAATTAACACGAAGAAAAAATCACTGAAATTTATCAAAATTTCTACGGACTACTGCCAATACCAATTCCCTACAAATTTACTGCCGTCGTTGTCAACAGTGATCCACGGCATTTTCTTCTCGAACTACGGCAATTGCCGCAAGTGCTGCAATAAAATTCCAGTCCTGCTATTAGGTCTTGGTATGAAAAGTATGTCTTGAGTATGACACAAGGAATAAAAATGTACATCACTTGTTTTTCTGAACATGAAAGTAGCTAATTCGCCGTAGTAGCCGTTCAGACAGATCTTTCCAACCAAGATCACTTAGGTTATCTCTTGATCTCATGTCATAACTTCAGTGAGTAATAATTCTTGCCGCCCATTTTGAACTTTTTTAGCTAAACCCTTTCCCATTGAACCCCAAACAGAACTACAGTAATCGAAATGAGGAACAATTAAAGAGTTTTATATAATGTAAATGAAGAGAACATTTTTTGGCTCAAAGGATCGAAGCCTTCTCAAGAGACTAAGTCCCTTGGCAACTTTTTTGAAAATTGACATGAGATTCCCATGTGAGAACCTTGTCAATGTATACGCCCAGGCATTTAAACGAATTTACGACTTGACTCTTTCTATTGGACAACCATTTATATCAATATCCAGACTTTCGGACAGTGTGCGGAGGCTATGATGTGTACCCAAGAACATGCATTTGGTTTTTGTAATATTTAAACTACGTTTGTTCTTGTTTAGCCACTCGTGTACATTATATTCACTGTTAATGATTTGCGTTAATTCGTCCTGGTCTCTTGCAGCATATGTAAGGCTAGTAGTCAGCATACATATGAACATTTGAGACCAGGTTTGAATTTGGCAAGGCATTAAATATACAATATAGAAATAGGGCCCCAGAATAGACCCCTGGTGAATGCCATATTTGATCATCTTAGAATCCGGGAGGGACGGGCTCAGAGGGTGCCTTTCACCATAGTTTTTTGTGATCATTGAGTCAAGTAATTTGAAAACCAGGATTTTAGGCATCACACCATACAGTTTCATTTTATATTAAATTCAAACGTTCTCTGACCAAATATGTTAGTCGACGAGCTTTCGGCTATCAGACCTATAGCCTTCAACGGGTAACTAACTAAACACACATGCAGTGACCTATTTATATTAAAGTCTATACGATGACGTAACTGTAGCTAAGTAATTAGTGAGTATCAAAGTATTCAAGGAATGTAATTAGTGTTCCTTTAGAAGAATAGAATATTGTCGTGGTAAGTGTTTTGAATCATTGTCTGCACCATCTATAACAGCTGTATGCCAAGATTCTAATGTTTTTCAAATCCGATAATTTCCTTTATCTATAATTTTCCCTCTCTTAAAATCAATTTTGTTGACAAATCCCAAGCATGTTTGGCTACATTTGAATTTTTCTCAAATCTCTCTGTATTCCTGATGTGTCCTTTTTTCTTTGTCTCAAACGACCGTCTTGTCTCTCCGATGTAATTCCAAGAGCAGTCCTCATTTAGTTAATTACAATTGATATTTTGATAGTCCAGATATATATTCATTCAAAGAGAAAGAGGATCAAATATTTGTTAAGGTGACTGGAAGCTAAGTAAACTAAAGTTTTCTAGTTAGCTCCAGATGGTTTCTTTCTCAGGGGGTTACTCCATACTTCGGGGAGAGAAAATGCTGTTGTAGGGTTCTAAGTGGTTTGATGGCAACTTTTATATTATGCTTCTGGAAGATTCGTGTTAGTGGTTTCACGTATATAGGGCAGTAGTTCATGTATATAGGGCTGTACAGCAAAGCCAGTGGGCGCGTCGGTTGGTTCTATACGAGATCAAAAACAAGTGTAGGAACTTCTGTTTCGTACAGAGGATATAATTTTCTCGGAGTAACCGTTTGTTTGTAGTGCTTGCGAAACATGTTTCAGTTCGTTGATTCTGTCTTCAGCTCGTGTAGGAAGGGAGCGTGCTCGATGTGCGTGCCAATGTTTTCACAGTGCTTATTTTGTGCCTTACATCGTGATGTGAATTATAATGCAAATATCTATCAGTGTGTGTAGCCAGGGTGGGTTTCCCGTTGTAAACGGTTACATGGATAACGTTGTTTCGTCGTGTAGTTAGGGTGTCGAGAAAGGGTACATAACTGGCCGTTAGATTCATGTTCAACAGTGAAAGAAATGTCCGTGTCAATGGAGTTAAGGGTCTGATCAAAAGATTCCACCATTCTTTTTTGTGATGCTATCTCAGTCGTCCACGTAGCGGTACCAGGATTTCGGGGGTGTTATTGCGTTACTAATTGCTTCTTCTTCAATTTCCTCCATACATAAGTTGGCAATTACCGGACTTACGGGGCTTCCCATAGCACAGCCATTTACTTGTTTGTAAACGTTATCGTTGTAATAAAAATAATAGTTCGTTAGAGTGAAATCCAGTAGGGAAATAATTTGGTCAATGTTCAGGTTTGTCCTTTCCAATAAAGTGGGTCGCGTTCTAATTCCTTTCGGATGTAATTGCACGCTTTCTTGATAGGAATGGCGCTAAATAGAGATATGTCATCAAAGGATACCATGACTTCATCAGGTTCTACGGTCAAGTTCGATATTTTGTCGGCAAAATCAGCGGAATGTTTCACAGGGAAGCCATTTAGATTCTGTAATGGTGACAATAGGAATCTTGAAGTGTTGTAAAACGCTGTATTGATGGTTGTAATAATTGGCCTTAACAGATTACCCGGTTTATGATGCTTTACGGAACCTCGGATTGAAGGCGGTAGGGCGTCTGTAGAATGTAGCCTTTGTATGTTGAATCGTCAAGGTTTCCTTGTTTTTTGAGATCAAGGAGTCGTTTAAGTTTTCGTTCTAAGGACTTAAATGACGGTTTCTTAATTTTCTCGTAAGTTTTGTTGTCATTGAGTCGGGTCCCCATTTTTTCATCATAGCTCTGTCTGTCCAATACCACAAAGCAGTTGCCTTTGTCCTCTTTCGTTATGATTCTAGATGTATCTTTCTTCAAACTGATTAGTGTTTTTCATTCATCAGAGGTTACTGTATGTTCTTGTGTTTAGGAAGTTGAGCTCTATGAAGGACAGATGCAGTAGTGGTTCTAACGGCGTCTTTCGCTTCATCGGGAAGCTGCTTCGACTTCGGCTACGATGTTTTTGTACGGTATACGGTTGGGGGTTACTGCGAATTTTGGGGCTTTCTCGAGTGAGGATTGCTCCGTGTCCGAAATGGGCTTGGACGACAGGTTGACAACCCAGATCTTATTTATCGGAGTGGACATTTCATGATCTCTTCTTAAGTTTTCCAGTTTCATATGGTGACTGGCGTTGATGGTATTTGGCACTGAATTAGCCCTTTCCTTAATTAAGGAAATCTGAGAGGGAAACAATGGTGTTATTATCCACAAGTCCATGCAGTTAGTTTGCATCGAGTATCCCTGATCATCTTTTCTGTGTTCTTTATCTGGCTGTGTGCGCTCTCATGCAGTGTTGGCTTGCTCTCTCCATAATTCTTCTGAAAACTGGATGCTGGCCAGGACCAGGTGGATTAAACCTCAGGGACTGTGGTATATGAATTGTTCCAGGTATGAATTGTTCCAGGTAAGAAATGTAATAGGTCTGATAGCCGAAAGCTCGTCGAAATAAAATATATTTGGGCAGAGAACGTTTGAATTTAATATGTCTTATCCCATCCTCTATATTTAAGTTTCATTTTAGATATCAGAACAGAATGATCAATTATATCAAATGCCTTTTTGAGATCCAAAAATAAAACCGCATTTATCAGACCATTATC